TTACGTCCTTCATAAACAGTGTTGGAGGTGTCTTTTACATAATGTCATTACTGTGCGTTTACAAAGGTGAAGTGCAATTCTGACCTGCTTACATTGAGGTTACCTTGAGGTGCTTCCGGGGCTTAGTGTCCCCGCGGCCCGGTCGTCGACCAGGCCTCCTGTTTGCTGGACTGATCAACCAGGCTGTTGGACGCGGCTGCTCGCAGCCTGACGTATGAGTCACAGCCTGGTTGATCAGGTATCCTTTGGAGGTGCTTATCCAATTCTATCTTGAACACTGTGAAGGGTCTGCCAGTTATGCCTCTTATGTGTAGTGGAAGCGTGTTGAACAGTCTCGGGCCTCTGATGTTGATAGTTCTCTCTCAGAGTACCTGTTGCACCTCTGCTTTTCAACAGGGGTATTCTGCACATCCTGCCATGCCTTCTGGTCTCGTGTGCTGTAATTTCTGTGTGCAGGTTTGGGACCAGCCCCTCAATTAATTTCCACGTATAGATTATTATGTATCTCTCCCGCCTGCGCTCAAGGGAATACAGATTTAGGCTCTTTAGTCGGTCCCAGTAGTTTAGATGTTTTACTGAGTGGATTCTAGCAGTAAAGGATCTCTGCACGCTCTCCAGGTCAGCAATTTCTCCAGCTTTGAAAGGGGCTGTCATTGTGCAGCAGTACTCCACTCTAGAGAGCACAAGCGTTTTGAAAAGTATCATCATCGGTACAGCATCTCTAGTGTGAAAAGTTCTTGTTATCCAACCTGTCATTTTTCTTGCAGTTGTGACGGCTACTTTATTGTGTTCTTTAAAGGTAAGGTCTTCCGACATGAGTACACCCAGATCCTTTACATTGCCTTTTCGTTCTATGTTATGATTTGCCTGAGTTTTGTACGTGGTTTCCGTTTTTATATTTTCATTTTTTCCATAGCGCATGAGCTGGAACTTATCTTCGTTAAACACCATATTATTTTCTGTAGCCCATAGAAAAACCTGATCTACATCTGACTGGAGGTTCGCCGTGTCCTCTGTTGCCTACTCTCATGAAGATCCTAGTGTCATCTGCAAAGGATGACACAGTGCTATAGGTTGTGTTCTTGTCTATGTCCGATATGAGGATGAGTACTGGAAGTACTGGAGCAAGCACAGTACTCTGGGGGACTGAGCTCTTCACGGTTGATGGGATGGATTTTATTTTGTTGACTATTACACATTGGGTTCTGTTAGTCAGGAAATTGTAGATCCATTTGCCTATTTTTCCGGTAATTCCTTTTGAACGCATTTTATGTGCAATAACACCATGGTCACATTTATCAAAAGCTTTTGCGAATTCTGTGTAAATTACATCAGCGTTTTGTTTGTCTTCCATAGCATCTAATGCCATATCATAGTGGTCCAGCAACTGTGACAGGCAAGAGCGCCCTGTTCTGAAACCATGTTGTCCGGGGTTATGGAGATGCTGTGATTCCATGTATTTTGTGATCTTACTTCTTAGCACACTCTCAAAATTTTTTATGGTGTGCGATGTTAGTGCTATCGGTCTGTAATTTTTTGCCTCTGCCTTATTTCCTCCTTTATGGAGTGGTGTTATCTCTGCTGTTTTTTAGTATGTCAGGGATAACGCCAGTATCTAGGCTTTGTCTCCACAGAATGTGAAAGGCCTGCGATAGTGGTTTTTTACAGTTCTTGATGAATATGGAGTTCCAAGAATCCGGGCCTGGTGCAGAGTGCATAGGCCTACTGTTTATGGCTTCTTCAAAATCCAGTGGGGACAGGGTGACGTCTGATATATGATTTGATGTTGGTATCATATCAATAAAAAATTCATTTGGGTTATCAATCTTTAGTGTGTTTAATGGCTCGCTGAGAACAGAGTCGTACTGCTTCCTCAGTAACTCGCTCATTTCTTTGTTGTCATCGGTGAAAGTTACATCTCTTTTTCGCAGGGGCCCGATACTAGATGTGTTTTTTTTTATCTTGATTTTGCATAGGAGAAAAAATATTTCGGATTTATCTCTATTTCACTGATGGCCTTTTGCTCTCTTTGCCTCTCCTGGGTTTTGTATGATTCTTGTAGCTTGAGTTCAATTGTTTCTATTTCTCTACCTAACCTTCGCCGTTCTTGAGATAGGGTGCTTCCACATATTCTGTATACACACACACACACACACACACACACACACACACACACACACACACACCCTAGGCTCCTCTAGGGGCCTCGTAGCCTGGTGGATAGCGCGCAGGACTCGTAATTCTGTGGCGCGGGTTCGATTCCCGCACGAGGCAGAAACAAATGGGCAAAGTTTCTTTCACCCTAAGTGCCCCTGTTACCTAGCAGTAAATAGGTACCTGGGAGTTAGTCAGCTGTCACGGGCTGCTTCCTGGGGTGTGTGTGTGTGGTGTGAAAAAAAAAAAGTAGTTAGTAAACAGTTGATTGACAGTTGAGAGGCGGGCCGAAAGAGCAAAGCTCAACCCCCGCAAAAACACAACTAGTAAACACACACACACACACATACAGCTATAGTTGTTATAGAAATTAGTGTGTTATTAAGCAGTTAACTACTGAAGGTGATTGTGAGGTGTTTCAGTAGCGCCGCTTATCCCGGCCAGGCGGCAAACTGCTCTCACTCACATAAAAAAACGTAACAAAAAATGCTGCTTTGCCTGGCGGTGTGAAAGTTGCAGGATTAAACACAATAAACAGATGAAAAATTAACTTAATTTACTGTAACCTTAAATATTCAGAAAATATTAGTTTATGTTTATTAAACAATACTTGGCGATTTTAATACTTAAAAAATAAAAGCGCAAATGAGTAGGTTACTCTACTTGAAAAGACAATAATGGTGACTAAATTATCATATATAAAGTGCACACGACCATCGTCAAGCATCGTAGCAAGACCACAGCGAGTGAAGGAGGCAGAGGTAGATCCCAGGAGCACCTTAAGTAGTCTGTTGTTCCAGGCTGTTGTTGTTGTTTTAGATTCAGCTACTGGGAACAAAAAGTTCCAAGTAGCACGGGCTATGGTGAGCCCGTTGTGGACTTACCTGGCACAGGAGCGGGGCTGTAACTAGGGGGGTTCCAGGCCACCGGCAGGTGTGTGTGTATATATATTGTGACGGGAAAGTGTTGGAGTGTAGATGTTCGGCAGTCCTCCAATGGCAGGTGTCAATGCCTGGTCACACTTACAAAAAAAAAATATAGACTGCTTGCCTGTTGTCTGGGGCAAGTGAGAGGGAGGAACATGTAAAACACAAAGTATGAACAATGAAACTTTAATATTTACTTTAAACATAAATGAAAATAAAGACAAGTTCCGTGGCAATGAAAAGTGCAATTTAAATAACAAAGATAAATGCAAAAACACAATGGATCAAATAGTAATAATAGTGAAATGGTGCTGAGAATATTGGCTATGGCTGAGACCTCCCTTAGTATACAAAAGCCAGAGAGCTAGTATGCCAGAGAGAGATGTCAACTCTTAGAGCACAAAGAATATTCTGAAGTTGATGGCTGGTCCAGGCTCAGATGTCGACTCAGGTAGATGGCGCTGAGGTGCAGGGTGCAGGTGTGCAGTCGGCGAGTCACCAATCAGGAGCAGGCAGGCTGGGATGGGTAGTTGGCTGGTTGAACGAGCCGGCGTGGAGGGTGTGTGGAGTAGGGGGGTTTAGGGTACGGTTTGCCTCCTCGTCAAAACGTTTTGTGCTACCGGTGGACGTATCTTGAATGTAGCATCTATACTTGTAGACTTAACGTAACTTTAGGTAGGGAAGAGCAGGCTCTCTTGAAAGAGATTATCGTCACAATATATATATATATATATATATATATATATATATATATATATATATATATATATATATATATATATATATATATATATATAATAATAATAATAATATAATATTATATAATATATATGTGCAGGTGACATGTCTGGTGGCAAGGTGCAGTTGGTAAGGAGCCGGCGAGGTGACAAGCAATTAGCGGGAGCTAACAGGTCACCGGTGAACACATCTGGCGTGGGCTCCCGGGGCCTGTGGTAGGGCGACCCAGGCGGAGGGTATCCAGATGTCTGTCTGGGCCGCTGTCTGGTTTTGCTGTCACAGAGGTGTACTGTAGCATACGGGCGTTGAAGGTAGGAAGAGGCAGCTTTCACAGCTATGCAAGGGATTACGTGACAGTGATTAAGATGCTTTTACAAGTTCAGGTTATAGTTATATCACATACATTGTATAACTGATGCATTACATAGTCAATCTTGGGTAGAAGTCCAATATATCAAGTGTTCCAGTATTCATGTAGTAGTTACAGAGTTCAGCATACCTCAGCCCAGGTGGGTGAGAGTTAACCAATATGGGACGTTCTATAATATAATGTTCAAGGGAATGCATGTTTTCTCTTTCACAAAGTTGACAAATTGTGTAATCGATTTTTTTTTTAATTTTTGCATGCGAAGAAATAACATAATTATATATATAAAATGAACCCCAAAGGGCATGAAAACAAAGGAACAAAACCATACGCCTGAAGGGTCACAGAACACAAGGGTACAACAATGACAGGCCTGATGGGCCTACAGTAAACAATGAAAGGGAACACATAAAACACATGACAGTAGCCTGTCCACAACGGAACTAAACAAAACAATACAAATAAAACAGGATAAAGCAAAACATAAAAATACAGTTCAGGCATTAAAACAAAACAAAAAATAGAAACCTATGAAACATTAAGAAACGTAAGGCACACAACCATAAGCTTGAAAGGCCTACAGCAGACATAACAAGTGGGAGTCGGGAGCAAGCAACGCCAAACCTACCCAAACTTTTCCAGAAAGTCCACCACTGAAAACCGGATGCCATACCCCTCCCAAAGAACCGCTATAGCAGGATTAACAGGCGTACGAGGACGCGCCATCATATCCGGAATTCCGGCCATAACTGTATGGGGAATCAGGCACCCAAACAATATCTGGGCATACGGGGTTCGTCAACACCCGCTCTCACATCGAAGGTTCGTCTCGAGCACAAATTTCTTGGAAAACAGCATTACTAAGAGACTGAATGTCCCGTTCAACATCACCAGACACGGCCGCCGCGGGTTGTACCACGGGAGGCGCCGCCACAGGAGGCAACACCACAGGGGCCACATCTGTAACAACATCCACAGGTTCGGGCACCGGCACAGAATCACCACGTCATACATCCTTCCTCAGTACCACCACAAGGTCCCGGCCCTCATCACCACGTCATACATCCTTCCTCAGTACCACCACAAGGCCCCGGCCCTCATCACCACGTCGTACATCCTTCCTCAGGACCACCACAAGGCCCCGGCCCTCATCACCATCTGCACCACCCACCACAGGAGGAGGGACCACCGCCCACTGCGAGGAACCCCCTGCAGGAGAAGAAACAGAAGTTAACTTAGATACATGGCCATCCGCTGCAGCAGCAGGCACGTGCACCTCTGCCACCACCGTCGTAGTCGACACCGCCACCCCAGGGACCACCTCACCTACACTCGCAGGCATCAAATTCACCCACGTCGGCCCAGGCAGAAGGAGAAGAACGCCTCAAGCGCTTGGGACCCGGCCTCATATCTTCAGAATCGGAGATGTAACCAGAAGCACGTGAAGCGCAGGGGGGGGGGGGGGGGGATTGTTGCACACTTTCGCCCAGCGCAAGACGTCAGCAGCCTCAACAACAGGGGCGACCGAACCCACCACAGCAGGAGACCCCGCCTCCACATCACCTCCCACCACAGCTGGGACAAGCAGCACGGACGAAGAAACAGTAGCCGCAGGACAAGGCAGAGGGACAGACGCAGGAGACGGAGGGGGAGGCATAGCAGACGGAGAAGCTGAAGACGGGGAAGGAGCACCTGGAAGAACAGCAACAGCACAAGGAACGCCATCAGCAGCAGGACACCCACCCAAGGACTGCACAACCACTTTTTTGGATTTTTTGTTGGTACAACAGCAAGTTGAGGGTCCTCTGGTAGGTTAGGAGTGCAAGAAATCATTCTAACGTTTCAAAACGTCATGAAAACCGTTAAGTGAAAGTTTCCTCTCCTAGCCTAACTGAGTGGGCCAGAGGACCCAAACAGAAAAGGAACAGTACGCCACTTTCGTGAGCTAATTTCATTTAAAATTACGTCCATTTTTGGCCATAGTGCTCTTACGGGAGAAAGGCGACGTTATTTTGAAGAGGACAGGTTGTTGTCCCACCCTCGTGATCCTCTCCATACTCCAACCGCTTTCTTGCTAGTCGACATATCCCAAGTCCACAGTAGTGACTGATCCGCCATCTGGGGTGACTCCCTTCTGATTGTTACAGCTCTGCCTTTTACCGTAAACGCTCGTAGCCGTAAACGCACTCGATCCTGCATCATTCCTCGTAACTGAATGATGATTATTGATGATTACACATGCATAAACACCTTGTTCAGTCAGTAGATTCACATATTATCTGAAAATCCACTCGAACTGGCACACGCATTGTTGAGGCCCTTTCTGAGGTTGACCACCTAACTGCCATTTCAATTACTGGCAGGAGAGTTATGTTGTCAGCCTTTCTGGTGCCTCCAGCCCCATGCTGAAAAAAGACAGGGATCTTAAAGAATGCCACAAAGATATTAATTATATCCTCAAAGTCCAAAGCCATTCTATTCACTTGCTTCATATGTTTACAACAAGCACCTCGCAGTCGACGCCATAAACCCGTTCATGTTAATGATCACTTTCAAAGTCGAGATCTCCCATCTGCAATAATTCTTGCTGGTTCCAGATGCACAGTACATGAGTACATTCTCTCTCCGCGCCTCCACGATAAGTGCTGGGCATATGGGCATGGAACCTCGCAGTGCAATAGCCAGGAGCCTTTTTGCCCTTTGTGTGGTGATCCCACCATTCTTTGTTGGACCTCAAAGACCTGAATGGAATGGGACCTTCGTCCCATTCTTATTGCATCAACTGCGCTGATGCGCTCCCTGTCTTCTCTCCATCATTTATGAAATGATATGTTGAGCAGGGCTTCCTCAACCTGAAATATGGAGACCGTTTACTCCCCCCCCCCCCCCGAGGCAGGACGCCTGGTTTCATATCTTTCCCACTTCTCTGACTTGTCTTATGCTTGTGTGTTACGTCGAGTTACGTCGTAATGCGTCGTAACGCCCCTCTGCGGTGTAAAGCTGGAGGTGTTACTCTGCTTACACCCTTCCCATGTTTCAACCCTTCCCATGTCTGCCATATTTGTTTCACTTCTAAACCCTCTCGTTTTTCTGTATCTGTTGTTAACCCTCCTGATTTCCAGTCTTATTTTCCTCCTCACGACGAAGATAGGACCTATATTTCTTTCTGACTTTCGGTCTTTCCCAGACAAAGGCCGTCTGGGATGATGTCCATCATCTTCCCGACCAATTCTAACCGTTCCATCACCGCCCATTAGATGGGACAGAGGAAGGAGTTGTACATGATAAGTAATCAAATTATGACACTATTAGTAGTAGGCATCCTTCAGTATCGGGAGACTATGGAGTCGCGCTCTGGTTGCCAATCCTGGTGCAGCGTCTGGTGTGACTGATGAGGCCAATCCCAGAATGGCAATCCATCCCACACTGAGCACAAACGAAGTTGTATTCTGGTCTGTTTTCTTGGCTACCGTCTTTCCTTCTCTGTCTCTTTGCTTCCGATTGCTTGACAAGTGACTCCTCGAACTTGGAGAGACCTCTTTGAACAGACTGGCTCTAGGCTGATCGGTCTGTGGCCAGTGTTTCCCACAAAGCAAGATCGACGTCCATAGCTTGCCGTTTCCCCTTTGCACCACGTGCCCGAGCCAGTGCATTCATCTCTGATTCAACATTGTGTACATGCTGGTGATTCCAGCTCGTCACAGGACGCTGTCACCTTGTCCTGTCAGGTGATGTCCAAGATGTATCGGAGGCAGCGCATGTAGTAAGCGTTCAGCTGTTTTTTCTGTCAGACGTAGAGTGTCCAGGACTTACCACCATATAAAAGAGTGCTCAGGACGCAGGCTCTAAACCTGGATCTTTATGTACTCGGTCAGTTTATTGTTTGCCCACACTCTCTTTTGTCAGTCTGGACATGGATGTAGATGCCTTACCGATGCGTATGTTTAGCTCCATGTCAAGAGCGAGGGAGTCAGAAATTGTGGAGCCCAGGTACACGAAGTCGTCCACAACTTCCAGTTTGTAATCAGAGATGCCAATGTTAGGTGGGGAGTCCACTCCATGTCCCTTGACCTGTGTTTTCTTCAGGATGATGTTGTGTCCGAAAGCCTGAGAGGCCTCGCTTAAGCGGGTCATGAGCTGTTGGAGGTCTTCAGCTGAGTGGACGGTGACTGCTGCTTCGTCGGCAAAAAGGAAGTCGCGCAGACACCTCAGCTGAACTTTTGACTCAGCTCTCAGCCTGGCGAGGTTGAAGAGCTTTCTATCCGACCTGGTCCGGAGGTAGATAACTTCTCTGCCAGATCCGAACGCGTGCTGCAGCATAACTGTGAAGAAAATCCCGAATAGGGTTGGAGCCAAGACGCAGCCCTGCTTTACTCCACTTCAGATGTCGAAGGCGTCTGATGTTGAGTCGTCAAAGACCACGGTATCCTTATGCTCTCGTGGAAAGATCTGGTGATGCTGAGGAACTTGGGTGGACATCCGATCTCGTGCAGGATCTTGAACAGGTCCTCCCTGCTGACCCCTTATGTCAAAAATTATGTCATCTTAAATTATGACACTAGCTTACCACATATGTAAGTTGTTTAGCTTAGAGACTGTAATTATAGTCGTTCTCGAACTCATTGTTGATATAATTCATTAAACTGTGTAACTAGCTTAGGACTTTAACTTATTAATTTAGATGGAATTTGGGACTCAGTTCCTGAGCACTTTCTGTACCGTTGTAATCTTTCCCACTAAAGTAACCTCCGAACAGTCTTCATTGTGATCGCCCTCATTCCCTTTTCCTGCCTGAGACAGTCACTCGGTGCCTGAAACAACATTGAAGGAAAAGTGGATCACCACGAAGGTGAAAATAATGTAGTCTGACCATTGTCTCCGGACCATATCATAAACCTTTCCCAGGTAAAAAGAATGGCTACAATGGAGGTATTCATTTGACATGCAGTACCAATGTAAACCTCCAAGTCCACCAGGTTGTCGGTCATGATGCAACTTGCACAAGGCAAATTAGGAGGGGTAGAGGCATCAACAGTGTTCCAAACACTACAAAAGCCATACATTAACAATAAGTTCAAAATGTTCGCAGACACAATTCATGATGACAGCAGGGAGAAAATCTTTAGGGAAAGTGCCTTAGGTCTCTTAATGGGAAGAACATGTTCCTTGAGCCAGTCCTCGGGAACCAGGCAACGTCGTTACCCTAATCTATATAAATAAAAATGGAAATGTTTCTTTGTTCAAAATCGCTAATTTCCGAAAGTTCTTCACTGATTGCTTTGAAATTTTGACACAACGCTCCATTCGAATACACTCATGTTTTTATATACATACTATATAGATGCCATACCTGTGACATAAAAACATGCGTTTTTTGAAAAACAGCGCCATCTGTTGCATGTAAAAGCAACACACGCTATACTAAATATGTTACGATTCCATTTCAATGTTTCCGAATGCATTGATAAATTGAATTTCATAGGTTTCGATTTATTTTCATTTTGATTTCATTATTTTGTGTGACATTGCGTTGGAATTGAGCTGTGTTGTTTACCACACCGTTTATTTCCAACCCGTTCTCGCAAATTTAATAAGTCAATATTGACTTATTAAATATGTGCATAGGTGACATACTTAACATAATAGTTTTCCTTGAAAAGCTTCATAGAAAACACCGACCTTACCTAACCTACTTAGTATGTTAAGATAAGCATCTTATTGCTTCGTAATTACAATTATTACCTAACCTATACCTATAATAGGTTAAGTAACAATTGTAATTACGAAGCTATAAGATGCCTATTTTAACATACTAAGTAGGTTAGGTAAGGTCGGTGTTTTCTATGAAGCTTTTCAAGGGAAACTATTATGTTTAGTATGTCACCTATGCACGCAACTAAGAAGTCAATATTGACTTATTAAATTTGCGAGAACGGGTTGTTATTTCGTGGGTATAGTTTTATTTTTATTTAATTTTTCATATTTTTTCATTAATTTTTTTAACTGTTCTTCTTATTTTTCAGTGATGGGAACACCAGATCATTTGATGTTCCCAATTTTCTGATGGGAACATCAAATCATTTGGGAATGCATCTCCCACTCCCGATGGGACGGGAGTGGGAGATGGTGGGAAGGACGAGGGGACGGGGAGAGGGGGTGGTGGGGGAGTACTGTGGGCCAGGGGAAGGTTGCTGTGGCTCGGCAATGCGCACGCATTGTTGAGCCACAGCAACACGTAGCCGGGTACAGCTAGTACTGTTATAAATATGCAATAGATACTGAGAGGCATCTAAAGGGAGATGACAGAGTATGTCAGAGTGTAAACCGTCCGAGTCCGTCGTTGTAGAGTTGCAATGAGACGAAGTGGACTGGAATTCAAAGAGGGAGAAGAGATCATTATAGGCGCATGTGGAGGCGAGTGTGAAAGTCCATACTGGTGCGAAGTTCAATATGGGGCGAGTAAAGAACTTAGGAGGGAGGAGAACCAGAACTAACGGCTGAAGGATGCGATCTTGGTTCATTCACGACCAACACTGGATCCAGGATAACAGAACCATGGAGGTGAAGGACGGGCTCTCTGCCTGGGACAAATTTATCCGCAAAGTTACGGATCTTCTTCTAGATAAAAGGAGGAGGTAAGAGAACAATAACGGTGAAGATGTAGGAGTGTGAGCTCACACGTTCAGCTGTGCGGATGGTCCCATGGGCCACCACACTTGCCTTACAAAGCAAAATAAAAGATTCCAGTGTCTGCAGGAGTCATTTTCTTTTCCAGACTGTACGCTTACAGTGTACAGCTTGAGGACAGTCCGAGTGCCAGCAAGAAATGTAATACCGTGTGCCACATGAGGCGTTTCTGAGTAAAGATCATAAAACAACACTTAGTCGAAGAGTACTAGAAGCCGTGACTGGTAGCCAGGACGACACAACATTGTAAGTTGGCGACGCGGTGGATGAAGGAGCAGTCATCATGGTGACAGCAGAGAGTGAGGTCGTCTATATCAAGCGCTGAGAATGCTCCAGTGGGATGGCAGGAGCGAAAATCAGTAAGGTCCTCGATAAGAGGAGTAGTGCTTAAAACACTACCTTGGGGAACACTACCTTGGGGAACACTACCTTGGGGAACACTACCTTGGGGAACACTACCTTGGGGAACACTACCTTGGGGAACACTACCTTGGTGAACACTACCTTGGGGAACACTACCTTGGGGAACACTACCTTGGGGAACACTACCTTGGGGAACACTACCTTGGGGAACACTACCTTGGGGAACACTACCTTGGTGAACACTACCTTGGGGAACACTACCTTGGGGAACACTACCTTGGTGAACACTACCTTGGGGAACACTACCTTGGGGAACACTACCTTGGGGAACACTACCTTGGGGAACACTATTGGTGAACACTACCTTGGGGAACACTACCTTGGGAAACACTACCTTGGGGAACACAACCTTGGGGAACACTACCTTGGGGAACACTACCTTGGGAAACACTACCTTGGGGAACACTACCTTGGTGAACACTACCTTGGGGAACACTACCTTGGGGAACACTACCTTGGGAACACTATCTTGGTGAACACTACCTTGGGGAACACTACCTTGGGGAACACTACCTTGGGGAACACTACCTTGGTGAACACTACCTTGGGAAACACTACCTTGGGGAACACTACCTTGGGGAACACTACCTTGGGAAACACTACCTTGGGGAACACTACCTTGGGGAACACTATCTTGGTGAACACTACCTTGGTGAACACTACCTTGGGAAACACTACCTTGGGGAACACTACCTTGGGAAACACTACCTTGGGGAACACTACCTTGGGGAACACTACCTTGGGAAACACTACCTTGGGGAACACTACCTTGGGGAACACTACCTTGGGGACACTACCTTGGGGAACACTACCTTGGGGAACACTACCTTGGGGAACTCTACCTTGGGGAACACTACCTTGGGGAACACTACCTTGGGGAACACTACCTTGGGGAACACTACCTTGGGGAACACTACCTTGGGAAACACTACCTTGGGGAACACTACCTTGGGGAACACTACCTTGGGGAACACTACCTTGGGGAACACTACCTTGGGGAACACTACCTTGGGGAACACTACCTTGGGGAACACTACCTTGGGGAACACTACCTTGGGGAACACTACCTTGGGAAATGCTACTGAAGTGATTTTTCAGATCTTTTTAGAGGCATGTAAATATATTGGGGAGGTGGGGACCAAAAGCATCCATTTTATGTATTGACAAATATGCACAATAAAATATTATCTGGTAAGAAAACTTGATAGTAAGTAGTTGTCACATTCTCACAATTGTCCATCTCCTGATCACGTAAGATCAAGCAGTCTCACACCTCAGTATTGTTATGGTGTCCTCTCCTAATTTCTCCTCAGTCTCAGCGTTAAGAGTCATATCTTCTTACCTTGCAGGTTTCCTGAGACACAGGGAATCGTTTGATATAGGAGGCAACTGGGAAGATTACATGATTGCGTAGAAATTGTCAATTCTAAGTTTTGCAGGTAAGGAAGGGGGGGGGGGCTTACGCCCCTTGTACATACAAAATGGCGACGTCTCTTTCAGGAGGCGCCAAGATCGTGAGGATGCCAGTAAGCTGGCGATTGGGTGGTTGAGGTCACGTGACGTAAGTGACCAATCAGAATCTGCTCCTGGAGGCTGTGACGTCACTGGGAGGCCTGGCTCAGGACCTGCAGGTCACTGAGCCATCAGAGATTCACGGACCTTTGACCCGAGCGGAAGTGCATCAGTGAGCTCTCAAGATTGGAGGTTTTTGAAGCCTCGCTCAGTGGATTGTGCAGCCTAAAGCAGGCTACCATCGTCATAGAAGATTAGTGTACTCCCGGGGAGTACGAAGAAGCAGAGTTTAGTGGGCGAAAGGAGCGCCAAGTGCTGTTAGTCTTTGACGGAGGTGAGCGGCGACGCTGGGAGGGCAGTCGGAAGCCCTGCGGGTCACCCCCAGGTACGACGTGCGGGCTGCGGTGACCGGGTCACATCTACTGAAGATTCGGAGGGGAAACTTCGCGTCTGGATCCATAAGGAAACGTCTCGGCGAAGGAGCGAGTGAGGGTAGCGACGTGCTCAGTGGCCACTGGCTGGACAAGCTTGGAAGAAGTGAATTCAGGAACTAGGCATAGCGGCGACGCGACACCACGACGCCCGGAGGTCCAGTGTCGCACAACCGGAACGCCGAGGAGCGACGTGGGAACTGTGTGCCCCTTCAACCATCGGAGGCCAGACGTCGGTGGACATGATTGCTTAAGGTAGATCATTATTTCCCTCCCATTGTCCCTTGATACTAGGCTAGGTAGGCCCAGTATATATTTCTATTAGTGTATTACGTATTATGTTAGGAGTAGACTAGGCTGTAGATCAGCTCATATATTACCTACTACCTAAAGAAGACAGCGTGGGATGAGCGTAGCAGAGTTGGTGGACGAGAGGTCTACACAGACGGAGGAGCTCCTCTTGTGAGGTGATTAATTGATGAAGATTTAGCCACCCAAAAGGTGGCACGGACATGAATAGCCCGTAAGTGGTGGTCCTTTGGAGTCATTACCAGTATCATTAGTTGATACTGGAGATCTGTGGAGGTGCGACTGCACCCTACGGAGAGGTCGTGACCTCCCGCCTTATGAGGGTTGTTGTTGTTCTTGTTATAGATTCAGCTACTCGGAACAAGTTCCAAGTAGCACGGGCTATGGTGAGCCCGTAACTTACCTGGCACAGGAGCGGGGCAAGTGAGCCCGTAGTGGACTTACCTGGCACAGGAGCGGTGCAAGTGAGCCCGTAGTGGACTTACCTGGCACAGGAGCGGGGCAAGTGAGCCCGTAGTGGACTTACCTGGCACAGGAGCGGTGCAAGTGAGCCCGTAGTGGACTTACCTGGCACAGGAGCGGGGCAAGTGAGCCCGTAGTGGACTTACCTGGCACAGGAGCGGGGCAAGTGAGCCCGTAGTGGACTTACCTGGCACAGGAGCGGGGCAAGTGAGCCCGTAGTGGACTTACCTGGCACAGGAGCGGGGCAAGTGAGCCCGTAGTGGACTTACCTGGCACAGGAGCGGGGCAAGTGAGCGCCCCGAACACCCCTTTAAATTTACCCTCTTGTCCGAGTTGCCAGAGGCGGCGAGAGGAGAGCTGCCAACGTTCTCCAGTTCATTTACTTATATATATCTATATACTTATTTTCTTACATTTTTAATGTAGATCTTAGTACAGTAAACTTTATATTTAACTTTACTGCAGAGTTTAAGTGAGCCCTCCATCTCTTTGAGTATTAACATCAGTGATACTATATTTTGCACCACACTATTATTATTAATATTCTGGTGACTGGAAACGCTGAGTAACATTGTTATTAATGGAAACGTACCACTGTCTGGTAACGCTGAGTCTAACCAACGTACCACTGTCTGGTAACGCTGAGTCTAACCACTGAGCTGCATTGCTGGGAGGCAGAGTTTCAAACCCAGCTGGCGACCTTATTAGTTGAGTGACACAGGTGTGTGACAGGTAACCTGTGACGCTTTGTTATGGCGTGCAAGACTACGAGGAAGTGCTGTAGCTGCAGAAACAACGACTGGAGGTTAATATGGAGTTTTCACTCTACCGCGGGTACAAGGCCGGATCGCGAGTAGCGGCTCCCAGGGCGATCAGAGGCACCCGAGTGTGCGGGAGCAAAGACCCCCGGTGGTGGTCGTGGTGTGGTTCTCATCTCAGGCACCGACCCAGACCCTAGGCCTTATAATAGTATGTAATCAGTTGTATACTTTTATTGTTTTATCTTTTTTAAAGTTTTTGTCATTTAATGTTAAACATTGTCATGTTTGTTCACAATTAAAAGGATAATAAACATGTATTAAAATACAATATATTCTTAATTTTATTACATTTACAAAATTAAATTATATTCTTTGGATTTCAAAGTAACATATGAACACGTATAAAAAAATACAAACACAATAGCAATAAAGTCTTTGCGTGAAGGTGTCATAAGGCTTAGATTCCCACGAAGCTCCAAGACCTGGAGTGAATAACAGCACTAGATAACCCACAGATCCAGCTCTCACAGACCTAGCTCTCACAGACCCAGCTCTCACAGACCCAGCTCTCACAGACCCAGCTCTCACAGACCAAGCTCTCACAGACCCAGCTCTCACAGACCAAGCTCTCACAGACCCAGCTCTCACAGACCTAGCTCTCACAGACCAAGCTCTCACAGACCCAGCTCTCACAGACCAAGCTCTCACAGACCCAGCTCTCACAGACCAAGCTCTCACAGACCCAGCTCTCACAGACCAAGCTCTCACAGACCCAGCTCTCACAGACCTAGCTCTCACAGACCTAGCTCTCACAGACCAAGCTCTCACAGACCCAGCTCTCACAGACCCAGCTCTCACAGACCCAGCTCTCACAGACCCAGCTCTCACAGACCCAGCTCTCACAGACCCAGCTCTCACAGACCCAGCTCTCACAGACCTAGCTCTCACAGACCTAGCTCTTACAGACCTAGCTCTCACAGACCTAGCTCTCACAGACCCAGCTCTCACAGACCCAGCTCTCACCCAGCTCTCACAGACCCAGCTCTCACAGACCCAGCTCTCACAGACATAGCTCTCACAGACCCAGCTCTCACAGACCCAGCTCTCACAGACCCAGCTCTCACAGACCCAGCTCTCACAGACCCAGCTCTCACAGACCAAGCTCTCACAGGCCTAGCTCTCACAGACCCAGCTCTCACAGACCCAGCTCTCACAGACCCAGCTCTCACAGACCAAGCTCTCACAGACCTAGCTCTCACAGACCTAGCTCTCACAGACCAAGCTCTCACAGACCCAGCTCTCACAGACCTAGCTCTCACAGACCTAGCTCTCACAGACCAAGCTCTCACAGACCCAGCTCTCACAGACCCAGCTCTCACAGACCCAGCTCTCACAGACCCAGCTCTCACAGACCCAGCTCTCACAGACCCAGCTCTCACAGACCCAGCTCTCACAGACCCAGCTCTCACAGACCCAGCTCTCACAGACCCAGCTCTCACAGACCCAGCTCTCACAGACCCAGCTCTCACAGACCCTGCTCTCACAGACCCAGCTCTCACAGACCCAGCTCTCACAGACCAACGCCCTCCTCCCGCCTCAGTTCTCTCGTCTTGTTGACATTCCTCGTCACCTGACTCATATATGACTCTCCGCTGACTTTGCTGCTAACTGCTCCAGCTGACTCCCTCTTCCATAATATATATCAGTTGAAATATAATTTAAAATTTTGTATAAGCTTTATGTATGTTCTTGCTGAATGTTTACACTTATTAATAAGCAGTTTTCCTTATTTATGTCTAATAATTACAGCATTTTAAAGTGAGTAATATTGTTACACAATATTACTAGTTCTGTAAGCATACTTTTTGTTAATATATTTGTCAAAATAAACGACTTCACTCTGTGAAGGTGTTACACATGACCTACACTTGGAGCGGGTGTCGGGTGTCACAGCACTTGGAGCGGGTGTCGGGTGTCACAGCACTTGGAGCGGGTGTCGGGTGTCACAGCACTTGGAGCGGGTGTCGGGTGGCACACCACTTGGAGCGGGTGTCGGGTGTCACAACAGTTGGAGCGGGTGTCGGGTGTCACAGCACTTGTAGCGGGTATCGGGTGTCACAACACTTGGAGCGGGTGTCGGGTGTCACAACACTTGGAGCGGGTGTCGGGTGTCACAACACTTGGAGCGGGTGTCGGGTGTCGAAGCCATTATCACTCAGCCCGGGAGATCCATGGCGAGAGGTCAAGGCCCGGGATGCCGGGACTGTCACAAGGAATTCTCTCGTTCCTGAAAGAAACAAAGTCAACACTTCAACACATAAGCACCAATTGTCTTCAAAACTGGAAAAGTAAAAATATATAATCATTCCCACTGTGTGTCTATACTTGAAGTGCTTGATGATTAATGCAGAGAGCAGCCACCAAGGGCATGGCCGCCTGGGTCGTGGGTGTGAAGCAGCACTAACATTAGCATTATGCCCTCGGCGTATAGTACAAGATCTACACCTCAGATATATTGATTTTTCTTTGTGGGGAAATTCTATAATACAAATAAATTTTATATTACCAATAAACTTTTAACTAAAAAGAGGAAGTGATGAATGATCAAATCTTGCTTTATTGATAAATTTAACATTTAAAAATGCTAAGAAATAAAATAATATTAATCTACATCATGGCAACCAAGTTTTAATAGCATAATTTAAATATTCAAGAAAAAGTAACATAATTTATCCAAGGTTTTTCTTAAAAAAATTTATGAAATAACTAACTTATGCTGTTTGATAACAAAATTAAATATTTATGTCAGTATATAGCGTATGCGCAAATATTATGTAACTCATAAAAAGATTTACATACGGCATTTAGGTCAACACATTTGTAAGTCAAGGGGGTTAAAAAAAATCAAAACCACGAAATTATCTTGGAAACCAATTATAGCTCTCGGCCAAAACACTTAAATTTTAATAGATGTTTAGAGACAGACACTTAATTCTTGGTGCCAGTCTGGTCAGAAACAAAAGGTTAAGCGAATAAAATTAATTTGAATGTAATGTATACAAAGTAACTCACAGTCCTCGAGGCCGACGGAAGGCGAGGGGCTGGACGTAGCCCAACATGTCCCCAGTCTCACACAGGACGCGCGCCCATGACATCAGCCGGATAGAGTAGAGTTGCGCTGCAAGTGTGATATGCATTATACACTTACTAAGGAAATAATGCAATAACTTTGAATTCCAGCAGAGATACCAGAGATGGTATCTACCCTAACAGCATAGTTCAAGTAGTGTTCCACAACATGGACAGTTTCTGTTGTGGAATATAAAATATATATATATAGGGAAGGGAGTACCACCTCTGGCTGGAAGAAGGGGGACCCATAGCCTCGGAGGAAACCACACATAACGCATTGGAGGGAATGTGGGTCCCCTCCAATACAGTTTCTGTGTGCTTTTCTCCTACCACCCCCTTCCCTTTTTTTTTTTTCCTTTATTGTGTATTTAAAGGTTACAAAACATACAAGACAAATGCCTAAAGGTTATGGATCTCTTGAAGCTCCTCCGCTTCTGGACAGGAACCGAGGACGCAGCAAGCATTTCCCCTCTGGATCGCCACACTGAGACGCTGAAATAAAAAACTGGAAGCCCTTGGGTCTCTGGTGACGTCAATGAGCTTGGACCCCAATTCCTTGAGAAATCCCAAGGCACTCTTGCCCCAGGGGCCATGCGTCTCAGACGCTATGGGAACAAAGAGGTATTGACCTTCCAGTCGCCTGTACTTGAGTGATTTTGCTGTTTCCCTGTGGTTGGCCGCCCCACCTGCTTGATCAGCTCCGAAGTGTACATAGGTGTCAGCCAGGGTGGATATATATATATATATATATATATATATATATATATATATATATATATATATATATATATATATATATATATCTGTATTGGAGGGGATCTAAACATTCCCTCTAATGCGTTATGCGTGGTTTCCTCCGAGGCTATGGGTCCCCCTTCTTCCAGCTAGAGGTGGTACTCCCTTCTATATATATATATATATATATATATATATATATATATATATATATATATATATATATATATATGTCGTACCTAATAGCCAGAACGCACTTCTCAGCCTACTATTCAAGGCCCGATTTGCCTAATAAGCCAAGTTTTCATGAATTAATGTTTTTTCGTCTACCTAACCTACCTAACCTAACCTAACATAGCTTTTTTGGCTACCTAACCTAACCTTACCTATAAATATAGGTTAGTTTAGGTTAGGTAGGGTTGGTTAGGTTCGGTCATATATCTACGTTAATTTTAACTCCAATGAAAAAAAATTGAACTCATGCATAATGAAATGGGTAGCTTTATCATTTCATAAGAAAAAAATTAGAGAAAATATATTAATTCAGGAAAACTTGGCTTATTAGGCAAATCGGGCCTTGAATAGTAGGCTGAGAAGTGAGTTCTGGCTACTAGGTACGACATATATATATATATATATATAAGGCGATTTAAGCCGAAAACGCGTTAAGCATTCTCTATTTTTCACATGTGGTTTTTCCGCATACTTGGATCAGTACACACACAAATCACAATTGCGTGATGCATCAAATGAACAAATCCACAAGGGCCGTCGTCCTCGTCACGGCCCTTGTGGATTTGTTCTTGGATCAGTGTTTTTGTGATCATTGTTGTATGTGTATACTGGGCGTCAATCCTTAACTGTAGCCTCTGTTTAACTCAACAGCAAAATGGGTACTTGGTTGTAACAACCGTTTTTTTTTTTTTTTTTTTTTTTTTTTTTTTTAGATAGATATATACAAGAGTTGTTACATTCTTGTACAGCCACTAGTACGCGTAGCGTTTCGGGCAGGTCCCTGGAATACGATCCCCTGCCGCGAAGAATCGTTTTTTCATCCAAGTACACATTTTACTGTTGCGTTAAACAGAGGCTACAGTTAAGGAATTGCGCCCAGTAAATTCTTCGCGGCGGGGATCGTATTCCAGGGACCTGCCCGAAACGCTACGCGTACAAGTGGCTGTACAAGAATGTAACAACTCTTGTATATATCTAAAAAAAAAAAAAAAGTATTTTGATAATATAGTAGAGTTGTTACTGTAAGTGTGATATGCATCATTGTTGATGGTTGGTTAGGTTAGTCTGGGCTATTAGGTCAGACATTAGGTCGTGCTTCTATTAGTATATAGAAAATGACATCAAGGATAACTATTGTGTTTCATTAATGTGGATGCACTAGTTTATAAAACAGTTATATTATATCCAAAATGGCCAGTAACATACGTGTCTGGTAAACTTAACATAAAGCAACTATAAGAAAAATATTAATTTATGTGTCAGCTGAATGAAGATGTAAACATACCTTCAGAAAACGAGGCGGGCATGTCCGCCAGGTCGTAGAAGAACCTGTCTCCTCGCTTCAGGCGGATGAACTGGTCACCGACGATGCACCTGTGGCGGGAGAACATATGATTGGTCAGTCATCCCTCTGTGTGTGGCGGGAGAACACGTGATTGGTCAGTCGTCCCTTTGTGTGTGGCGGGAGAACATGTGATTGGTCAGTCGTCCTTCTGTGTGTGGCGGGAGAACATGTGATTGGTCAGTCATCCATCTGTGTGTGGCGGGAGAACATGTGATTGGTCAGTCGTCCCTTTGTGTGTGGCGGGAGAACATGTGATTGGTCAGTCGTCCTTCTGTGTGTGGCGGGAGAACATGTGATTGGTCAGTCATCCCTCTGTGTGTCGCCACACACAGAGGGACGACTGACCAATCACGTGAGAACATGTGTGTGGTCAGACAATCCTGTGCTTGATGGGAAAAGATGCGTTTGTGATGAACTCCTTTGTAATGGAATAATATGAATTGTCAATAATTCCTATGTTCCAGGGATAACAAAATTTTTGTGTAGAGTTCTTTCGGTTGCTTCCTCTGCCAGACCACTGGCAGTGGAAGCCATGACACTGCTTCCCCTGCCAGAGGTCTCCCATAATGCTGCTTACCAGGACCCACCACACCTGGAGGTGGGTCCCTCCTCCCATGCCCACTCCCCTGAAAGTGGGTCCCCACCTGTTGCAACTCACCTGAAGGTGGGTCCCTCCTGTTGCCACTCACCTGAAGGTGGGTCCCTCCTCCCATGCCCACTCCCCTGAAGGTGGGTCCCTCCTCCCATGCGCACTCCCCTGAAGGTGGGTCCCTCCTCCCATGCCCACTCCCCTGAAGGTGGGTCCCTCCTCCCATGCGCACTCCTCTGAAGGTGGGTCCCTCCTCCCATGCCCTCTCCCCTGAAGGTGGGTCCCTCCTCCCATGCGCACTCCCCTGAAGGTGGGTCCCTCCTCCCATGCCCACTCACCTGAAGGTGGGTCCCTCTTCCCATGCTCACTCACCTGAAGGTGGGTCCCAGGAGAGCCCCCGGTGCGGGCCGCTCAGAGATACCGGCCACGAAGGGGTCGATGTCATCAACAGAGGCGTAGAGCTGCTGGAACACGTTCACCACCTGTACAGGGAGCGGTGATCTCATCTTAGTGGAGGCTGCAGGTGGGAGATGATTAGTGAGTCCCTTGCACCTGGTGTTAGGTGTGGGAGGTCCTTGTTAGGGGTAAGTGATGTGGAAGAGCAATGACTGGAGTCTCGAGTATATTAAAGGAGAAGATGGTTATAGCTGTTTTAGTAGTGTCGGTGGGAGGGTGTTTCATTGGGCTCTGCCAGGCCATATATACTGATGATTGTAATGGTGACCTAACTTAATTCGTGGTATAAAAGGGGAATACTTGGTGGTGTTGCGTGTTTGGTGGGAGGTCTCTCTATGTGCACAGTGTACAGAGGGTGGTGGATGTAGGTGGGCACTGTAGTGGTGGTGAGGTGTTGGTGGCAGTTGTTCCTTACATCGCTACATTGTAATGTGTTCAGCTAACCAAAAGATTAATATGTAGAGCGTAACTGTTACAGACAACATGAAGCATTTGCTGTATGTTCGGTGGAAACGATATATTCATTATAAGCTACTGTTGCTCTCTCTCTCTCTATTTTCAAGCCTTACCTCCGGCCGAATAACGTCGAGCAGGTCCTCAAAGGTCCTGGCCCTTGGAAGTCCGCAAGCTTCTCTCAGTTCATTATAAGGAGCGATGCCGTGGTCGCGGCCCCGCTGGGTGTTGAGGGCCACCAGGTCCATCCCGAAGGGCATCTGTGGAGTCTGAAACACCAACAGTTGCTGCTGAAACTGTTCATGGACTGCGTTGCCAAATAATCTAATATACTTACCTGCACAAACCATGTTGACACACGCCACATATATCATTGATCTGGATAAGTCAATCATTTTAAGTGGCCAGACAGTGAAGAGTTAACTCATTCCTGCACACAGCAACCGCTCCCTATCATATTAATAAACTTAATCAACCCACTAAATAAATGCATCAAACAATCATTGGGGTCACCAGGATTGGCAATTATCGTTATGCTAATTACCTGTTAGTGAATTCCCCACCACCTGACCATCACTAGATGGCAGCACTAACTACACAATAGAATCCGATGAGCCAGCAGCCAGACCTCGTCAGCTTGTATCCCGAGGAGTTGAGTGGCGACCACCGACCGGGTCGGACGCTACTGAGGTGTCTCCGCTCCTGGCTAGTGTTTATGTTGGACGATTGCTGGTTGCCCTGCTGGTGGTGGTTTGCCACTGGCAGAGTGGCGTTTGGATTTGCCATGGGGACTTCTCGACCTCCAGTGAAGAGGACATTGTCGGCTGGTTTGGCATTTACGGTGCCGGTGGACCATCCGTTGGTTGGTGTCGCCCTGGTGGACGTGCAACATGTGCAGCTGTCGGACCTAGTGGGCGCTCAGCTGCTTCAGAGAAACGGTGCTGTGGTCTAGTTTCGCCTTCAGGCTGCCGTTCAGGCGTTTCTCGAGCGGTGTGAAGGGCGTGTTTACCCTCTCCCTGATACTACTGGTTCTGTTCAAGTGGTGAATCTTAGTGTCGCCTTGATGTATGTGGCGGTGCACGGTGCCCCCTTCGAATTTCAAGACGAATTTCTCACCTCCTGTTTTAAACGGTTTGGGACAGTGTTAAGTGTTCGTTGGAACAAGGTCCTTGCTGGACACTGTTCTGGTATGCTTGATGGCTCCCGCACCAGTGACGATGTCACTGAAGTGTAGTGTCCCGTCGTTGATGTCCGTGTTGGGTGACATGCTACGCTGCCTGTATCTGGGGCAACCACGCACCTGTTATAGGTGTGGTCACGAGGGTCATCTGGCTGCGGCGTGCGACGTGGGACCAACTGGTCGGGTGCATATTTTTTGTGCGGATGATTTTCCGCCCCTGTTGCTTTCAGACGGTACTGAGGATGGGGTGGGTACTGTGCCTGCGGCGCCTGATTGCCTGTCTGCTACTCCACCTGTTGAGGCGAGTTTTATGTCCTGTGCAACACATCTGGTAACTGCTGTGGCCCCTGGGGTTGTTGAGCCGGTGTGTGTGGGTGTCGGGCTGTCGCCTGCACTGCGTGTAGTGCAGGATGTCCCAGTGGAGGTCTATGTCCTTCCCCCACCTGTGGTTGTGGCTCTCGGGGATGTGGGTTTTTGTTTGATGTTTTGGAGGGGATGCTTCAGCAGGGGGAGGTGCCTGCCTTGCCTGTGTGTGTCGGCGACTGTAGTTCTGATGCTTCCGTCCCTTTGCAGAAACGTGCGCATCGGTGTTCTGAGGCTGTTTCCTCTGGATGATCTGGACAGTGTGGGTGATGTGGCCTCTGGATTCTTCGGATGGTGCGGGCATGGACCGTGTGGATGTGAAGATGCTGGCTGTGCCTGCAGAGGGGCCTGGTAGGAGTGGTGTCGTGCGGCCTGTCATGAAGCGTTCGCGGCGGACTCGGAGTGTGTCTCCCCTTCATGGTGTGCCTTGGGAAAAGATGGGGGAGTATGGTGCTCTGACGTCCCCCGCCGTAGATGTCGGGGCTGTGAGGGGCTCCGAATTGCTTTCTGTGTCCCCCCCCCCCCTGCGCCTCCTGCTGTTGGATCCCCGCTGTGGGGGTTGCCTCTGATGATCAGGACCCCGTCGAGGTGCTGCGGAAAAATGCACGCCAGGGGCCTCGGCTCCTGTGCCCAGTGGCAGGATCGTTGCCGTGCCTGTGTCCCCTGCGGTTTCCCCTCCTTTGTTGCTCCAGTCTGGGGGGATCCTTGTCCCGGCTGCCAGGATTGTGACCTGTGAAGGTCCGGTGTTGGGCCCTTATCGGGATGCCCGGGTGCTTCCGATCCCGTGGTGCTCTTCTACAATCTGGGTGCCATGGGTAACGGAGTTTCTTTATAGGGTACCGGATAGGATGTCTCGGCCAAAGGCGCCGCCTGGTGGATGGGTGTCCTTTGACACGTGGATGATTTGGGAAGCGTACTGCTTGCGCCTTCCGATATACAAGTTCCCGGAGAAATATTAGTGGACGTCTTGTGCACAACGCTACGCCTTGGATCAGCTGACGCCATATACTCGTCGTCCCGCCCTACGCTGCGGCAAGTCTCCCTCTACCATCCACCTCTGTTTTCGTCGCCGCTCCTCTCTCTACGGCACAACGTAACTAGCTCTTTTGACATTATTATCCTCCTCAACGTCAAACATGTCTCCCAACATCTGTCCTGGTGCAGTCATCGGCAGGGTAAACCCTTCATGCAAACTGCACCTACTCTCAAGAAGAAGAAGAAGAAGACCTTGTCAGTTTGGTGTTGAGGTTGATCACCCTCTCTCTAGAGGGTGATTAAGGCCACCACAAGATGGTTGATAGTTGTTAGGTCGTGGGCAATTTAGGGTTTGTTAGTAAGAAAACCCCAAGAAAAGATAAAAAGAAAACCCATAAAGGAAATATAGCCGCTGGGTTCAGCATAGGAACACAACCAAGTACACAAAACTCAAAAACTTAAAATCCCCAAAACTATACTATATACAATGTCACACATAACACAGTTCTAGAACAGGAGCGAAAGAAGAGTAATGCAATGACAGTGTATCAAAACCAAATAAAACACCATACACACACCCAAAAACACCCTGCCCCTAAAACACAGCGTGACCCTTCCCCAAAGGAAACACAAAGGAAATCAGAAGGGAATACATAACAATAAGAACCTTAATGGTAAATAACACAAGGTAACACAAAATGGTAAAATTATCAAAAGAATAATGAAACACAAAAGAAGGTAAAAATATAACCACAGGAACCCACACACACTCACAGAAACCTGAAACAACACACAAAAAAAAGGGCAAAACAGGACCCCAATTCGTATACACAGAAGTACACATCAAATGAGGAGCCATTGGAAGGATTATTACGTACACCACCTATCTGGCTTCATAACTAGGCTCAAGTCTAATTGCACTTAGACTTGCACCTCGCGAGAATCACAGTGAGAGGGTGTGTTGGCTGAGCTCCAATTGTCTTGATTCTGAAAATGGAAGGTGTAGTGAGTGAACTGGTGCTGGTGAGGGAGCTGTGGGGAGCTCTGAGGGCAGAGGTGGAGTCCCTGCAGGAGGAGCTACGACAGATGCAGGAGCTAAAACATATGAAACAATGTCAAGAGGAAGAAGAGGGGGAGAGCAGCAGTAGAAATTCTTCGTCTTGGAATGTTGTAGACAGGAGTCTTAAGAAGACTGTGACTAGGCCGCCTACTGATGTCCTAAGGACTTCTAACTCCTTCGCCGTGTTGGAAGACGAGTACGGTGGGGAGCCTGCAGTACGTTCCAAAGGGAAGGCAACGAAGGTAGCGCAGGTACTTCAAGGTGCTCAGAACGTAAAGGAAGTACCTAAGCGAATTTTGGTTGTGAGAGATTCCCAGGTGAGGTATTTAGACAGAACGTTTAGTGCCAGAGATAGGGGGAACAGGTTAAGGGTTTGCTATCCCGGAGCTGGAATTGGTGATATTGTTGGAAACATTAATGATATTATGATGGGAAATGGGAACAAACCCATTATTTGTATCAGTGCCGGTGGAAATGATGTTGGATGAGTTAGGAGTGAGGCACTGATAGAGGTTTAAGACAGCCATAGAATTGGTTAGGAGCAATGGAGGAATCCCGATCATATGTCACATTCTTCCAAGAAAGGGAGTTGGAAATCAATGGTTGTCAAGAGCACTTGGTGTCAATTGCCATGATAACTGGGAACACTTCTATGGAAGAAATGAAATGTATGCTCGTGATGGGGTGCATCTATCGAGGGCTGGGGTTGTTGCTGTTGCGAACTCGTTGGAACCAGTGATTGGAGGCGTTTGTTTGGGTTTAAACTGTTAGTAGATAGTAGTATGGGAATTGATTTGGAGGAAGGAGGTAATAAAAGTATGTGTTTGTGGGAGAAAGAAATTGGCAAAATGATCAGGGAAAGAGAAGGGCCTCAAAATAACAATACACTTAGGGTATATTACACTAATAGTAGACGTCTAAGAAACAAAATACACGACTTAAATGCTCTTGTCTGTACAGAAAAAAAATATATATTATTGCACTTATCGAAACGTTGATGAATGTAGAAAATAGAGAACTATTAGCTGAATATCAAATATATGGATTTAAACTGTTTCACACAGATAGATATATTAGACAAGGAGGGGAAGTAGCCATATATGTTAGGGAAAATTTGAAATGTAGTCTCAAAGAGGGAATCAAAACTGAGCCACACACTGAAACTATGTGGATTGAATTAAACGAAAAAGCTAAAAATCTTAAAATAGGAGTTATATATAGGCCACCAAACTTAGAATGGAAGCAAAGCACCTATGGAATGAAATATCTAAAGCATCTAGGTCTAGCAGTATTTGTGTCATGGGTGACTTTAATTTTAGTGGAATAAACTGGATTAACAAAACAGGGAATAATGAAGCAGAAGATTTTCTAGAATTAATTGACGATCCCTTTCTTACGCAACACATTAAGGAACCAACGTGGGAAAATAGCATTTTAGACTTAGTGTTAACAAACAAGGAAATACAAATTAATAACATCGAAATGTTATTAATAACCCGAAGTTAATAAACCCGAATAACCTCCGTCTTTAATAACCCAAAACGCTGTGCGTACTAATGGCTGCACAAGAATGTAACAACTCTTGTATATATAAATAAATAAATAAATAAAAGGGAGTAAGCTAGGGAACAGTGATCACAAAGAAATCAGATTTAGCATAGAATGGAACAGATTTGTAGGAGAAAATTCTGTTGAAGTGCCAGATTTTCGAAAAGCTGATTTTAATGGCCTAATAAATTTTTGGGGTGAAATAGATTGTAAAGTCTTGGGCATGGGGTGTGGGCTGGTCTTGTAGCGAGACATGAACCCAGCGATGTGTGATATGAAAAGGGATTTCGAAGTGGATTTAAAATATAACTTATTTACAAATGTTTTAAGCAAAGCACAGGAACTTAGTATACCATACAAATTGAATAGATCGAATAATAATGACCCGAAATGGATAACAAAGGGTCTGAAGGACCTTATAGGTAGAAAGAGAGCGTGGTACAAAAGGATTAGGAATGGGGAAGTCAGTTTAGAACAAGAATTTGTGGAACTGGTTAGAAATGTTAGAAAAAAAAGAAATAAGGAAAGCAAAAAGAAACTATGAAGTTCGCATAGCAGAGCAAGCAAAGACAAATCCTAAAGGGTTTTTCGAGTTATATTGAACAAAGATTAGGGAAAGGATAGGTCCATTAAAAACTGAGACAGGTCAGATAGCGGATAATGACGAAGAGATGTGTAATATTTTTAATAAATATGTTATCTCTGTATTTACTAACGAACTTAACATTATGCCTTCAGCCGTACAAGTCTGTGTGGGTGGGGAAGAGGACAGGTTGACTACTTTAGCAGTTACCAGGGAGGATGTTCTTAAACAAATAGTAAAACTCAAACCAAACAAATCCCCAGGGCCGGGTGAAGTGTTTGCCAGGGTGCTTAAAGAATGCAAAGAGGAGCTTTGCGAGCCACTGTCTACCATATTTAATAACTCATTTGAGTCAGGCAGAGTGCCAGAGTCGTGGAGGGTTGCTAATGTGGTACCAATTTTCAAGAAAGGAGATAGATCATTTGCTTCAAACTATCGGCCAATTTGCTTAACGTCTATTGTGGGAAAGTTACTTGAATCGATAACTGCAAATACCATTCGTCTTCATCTAAACATAAATTCAAAACGTCTTCATCTTCATCTTAAACATAAATTATTAAATGAGTCGCAACAGAGTTTTACAAATGGCCGTTCATGTTTAACAAACTTGCTATCATTTTGTTCCAGCATAGTTGAGGCAGTTGATAGTGGTAAGGTTTGTGATGTTGTGTACCTTAACTATAGCTAAGCTTTTGATACAGTGCCACATAAAAGACTGGTTGAAAAGATAGAGGCTCATGGTATTGAGAGTGCTATATAAAGTTGGATTAGGGCATGTCTATACCAAAGGAAACAAAGAGTTAGTATAAATGGGGTTAAGTCAGAGTGGGAAAGTGTTGTAAGTGAGTGCCTCAAGGCTCTGTCCTGGAACCTCTGTTGTTTATAATATATATAAATGATTTAGATTCAGGTTTGTGTAGCAACGTTTGCAAATTTGCCGATGATACAAAAATCGGCAGGGAAATTAACACGGAAAAGACTCGCTATCACTTCAAGACGATCTAAATAGGGTTTTTAAATGGTCAAAAGATTGGCAAATGCAGTTTAATGCTGACAAATGTAAGATTTTGAGGCTAGGTCATGATGATAGTTACAATATACGAGCTAGATGGTGTTGAGATTGCAAAGCCGGATTGCAAAAGGGATCTGGAAGTTATAATTAGTAAGAATATAAAACTAAAAAATCAGTGCATAAATGTTCGTAATAAGGCAAATAGGACACTGAGATTTATTAATCGAAGCGTTAGTAACAAGACACCTGGTGTTGTTCTTCAGCTATATCTTGCTCTGGTTAGGCCCCATTTAGATTATGCAGTTCAGTTTTGGTCGTCTTACTATAAAATGGATATAAATTCACTAGAACGCGTCCAACATCAGGAAAGAGCACCCTTCATAACGACGAATAAAATCTAGGAAGACACACTGTGACTAGAACTTAACCACCGCCCGGGGGTCACTGAGGAGCTGGACACCAATTAAATCCATAATGGCAACATGTAGCGCGTCCACCAACGCCACCCCGACAGCCGTATAGTCCACAGAGGTAGAAAAATCCAGCCTCACCGATGTAGTCCTCTTCACCGGGGGCATGGGAGACCCCATATCGCAGGCCCACCCCGCACCAGCAGGGCACCAGCAACGCCCACGACCACCAACAACCAGCAACACTAGCTGGTCGCAAACTGCAGAGCAGGGCCGAGAACGTCTGCACCCTCTGGCGGTCGACAGCCTCATATTGGGTCGTGGGCTTAGAAGGGAAAGGTGACTACAAACTCAGGTGACGGACGCACTAACCAACGGGCATAGTGACGAGAGGAAAACCTCACCTGGAAGAGCCTGTTAGTGAGTGAAGAAGTGACAAAGTTGTCAAACTGCTGGATGGGCTGTGTGGCCAGGCCTCGGAGGAACTGGTCCAGTCTGCCCGGGGTGTAGATGTGTCGCGGGTTGTTGAAGTTGTCGTGCAGCAGCAGCGTTCCTCCGTCCTTCATCCCCTTCTTCCCCACCAGCCTGCCGGAGGACGCACCACATCACGCGAATGATAACTCCACCGAAAAGTTAATACTGATTGCACCGTTCATTGTATATCAATCAGATACTGAACTTGATGCAATATGTTCAAATTGGAGACATTTAGGTTCAGGTAAATTAAAACTAGAAACTCCCTCAAAAATTAGACTGTAATTCTTTTGGAACAAGTTATGAAATTAGATCATAGAAGCAAACTCCCTGGAAAGTTTCAAGCACAGATCAGATGGTTACAGTTAAACTACCACAGTAAAGACTTTAAGACTTTCAACATGCAGAAAAAATAAACATGAATTTGAAGACATGGATATGACGTTTAAATATTTTAACAGCGTTATTTCAAGAAAATGACTGTTATTAGATATGGCTCCTGTCTTACCCCAACAGGGTGTTGGAACCGGGCATAAAGAAAAAGACTGCAACAAGATTTAGTCTTCTGGGAAAATAATCTTATTCGTCACTTACTGAATCATGCCCTGGACGAGGGTGTGGCCGAAGCGGAAGGCCACTGTTGCGAATTCGTTCAATATAGCCGCACTGAGGCCGCCGTCGTAGTCCCTGGAGTAGCCGTATCGCAGCGGCAGTAGTCCGTTCTCGGCCATGTAGTCCTTGCCTGTGAGGTTGATAATATTATGGCAGCGACTATCATGGCAGACCAGTCATGGCAGGACAGTGGCGGCCTGAGGACACACGGTGGCCCAACCACAGAGGCTGGCACTAATTATGATACTTAAAATTCCGTAGCTTGATACTAGATAGGAGAGAACACTCACTCAGTCATCTCTTCTCTCTCTCTCTCTCTCTCTCTCTCTCTCTCTCTCTCTCTCTCTCTCTCTCTCTCTCTCTCTCTCTCTCTCTCTTTCTTCCTGCTTATATTACTGCAAATAAAATCTTGTGACTTCTAGTCAACTGCTCCAGCCATTAGTAATGTTCCATCTAACTATTTCTACACTTTAGTCAACTACAACTACTACTGTGGTCAACTACCTCTCCCACTATATCCACGTGCGGTGAACTATTATAACTACTACTACTATTGCCATTGTTTATACTGCTGCCACTGTCTACACTGTGGCCACTGTTTGTATTGTTGTCACTGTTTAACTTGTGAGTTGAGGTCGAGTCGTTCGTATCTATAATCACACCCTTAAACCTAAAGTTGTGTCGTATAGTTGAGAAAAATGTACAAGTGTTTTGTCCTTTAATCATCCATTGGTCGACTTAAAAACCTGAGCTGTTGGTGAGCTCAGCAAACCAATCAAAAGAGATTTCTGCAGTTTTAATGACCTTAAACGAAGTCCGTATGGAAAAAACACTCTCCAGTTTAATCGATTAATTCAGTCGTCTAATTCAGCAGGCTTAGGGCTTTCGACTGCTACTAATATTCATAACTATTTCTAATTCTAGTACCGAACCAAGACAAAGAAAGTAATGATTACCAATGACAAGAGGGAGCCACTCGTTGTAGATGATGTGCTGGTAGATGGCCACCACTATCCTCCTGGTCTCCTGGTAGATGGTCTCGTCTGACCAGTGGGGGTTGAGACGGGCCAGCTCCCGGGCGATGCGGTTGTGGAACCTCACCCACACGGTGTGGATGACGGACAGGTCAACTTGTTCGTTCACACGATTGTCACCTGGTGAAGTGATGCAAATTAAATAGCAGATAAGATTGAGTCGTAACTAATTCCCATGGATAGATGAGTGGATGAGTAACAGCAGAACTGTTCATGTTCTGCTGTTACAGCAGAACATGAACCAGCCCATCCCTGAACCTGAACCACCAGCCCTTCCCTGAACCTGAACCACCAGCCCATCCCTGAACCTGAACCACCAGCCCATCCCTGAACCTGAACCACCAGCCCATCCCTGAACCTGAACCACCAGCCCATCCCTGAACCTGAACCACCAGCCCATCCCTGAACCTGAACCACCAGCCCATCCCTGAACCTGAACCACCAGCCCATCCCTGAACCTGAACCACCAGCCCATCCCTGAACCTGAACCACCAGCCCATCCCTGAACCTGAACCACCAGCCCATCCCTGAACCTGAACCACCAGCCCATCCCTGAACCTGAACCACCAGCCCATCCCTGAACCTCAGAATAAAGGTTTGCGGATGGAACCTTGAGTGTTGTACGAAGGACTTTCTGTAATAGAAGATTGCATAATTTTTTTTGTAGTGTCTTGCGTGAAAGTGATACATATGGTGTTATCTGTGCTGTATATAAGTAATATATGTAAAACTACATAATTAGTAAATAACTCGCTTGGTGGTGATATCAGTAATGATATACCTGAGATACATTATAAATGGTGGCAGCAGTGGTATCCCATCGCTGCCACCATTGCAATGCTCCCTGCGCCTTAACCTCACTTAACTGGTTAATGTTGGTCGTTAATTAACGGCTCTGATCTTCACCGTTTGATTCCTCCCTGTAACCTCTATTCAACTCCTCGTAACCGTTGGTGTTTGATCACCAAAGGTGCCACACACGAGGACACTGTACTCTATGTCACTAGGAAACTCTGAGACCTTACTTGCTGAGATGGGGTGTGCTGGGAAGGGGTGTGCTGGGAAGGGGTGTGCTGGGAAGGGGTGTGCTGGGAAGGGGTGTGCTGGGAAGGGGTGTGCTGGGAAGGGGTGTGCTGGGAAGGGGTGTGCTGGGAAGGGGTGTGCTGGGAAGGGATGTGCTGGGAAGGGGTGTGCTGGGAAGGGGTGTGCTGGGAAGGGGTGTGCTGGGAAGGGATTTGCTGGGAAGGGATGTGCTGGGAAGGGATGTGCTGGGAAGGGATGTGCTGGGAAGGGATGTGCTGTAGCTTCCCTACCGAGAGGACAGTGTAATCTGTCCTCCATTCACAGTGATTGTAATTTATTTTACCAAAAGTTTCTTTGGTACATATTTGCAATAAACCCAGAAACTAAGAGAAAGTTTGAGCAGACGAATTGGAAAATGGAAAGATATAGAAGCAAATGATTGGATAAAGACAAAGAACATAGTGATAAACTGGAGGATGAATGACGGAGGACAGGTATAAAGAAATATATTTGTTCTGTAAAACACAGAATTTCTTCATGAGAGGACAATTGACCACGAGGGCAAGGAAGACAAGCCACACTTACCGGCTATGAAACAAGGAATTCCGTCCCTGGCAGACTCACACTCCATGGCCTCAAAGTCAGGAGGGAGGAGGTCCTTCTCCTGCACCCTCAGGAGGCCGCCACGGAACAGTCGCAGCGTCTGCTCCTCCTGGCGGCTCGACCCGTAGATGTTGGACCCGTCCAGGTAGTGCGTGACCTGGTTCATCTGGCGGGGAGAGGTGCTCTAAATGTAGCTAGGTTTTGGGGTATAATTGTGACGTGTTAAGGGAGATTATAGATGTGTGAGTCAGTGTAAGTAACTCCAGCCTCCACATAACTCACCTGCTCAGCGTATCCTAAGTTACAGGGGTTGGCGCGGGGTGCGAACATGGACCTGACGAAGTTCATACAGCGGCGACCACTCGGGCCGAAGAAGGGGTCGTCGGCGGGGATCTCGATGGGGAAGCAGGCGGGGTGGCGGAAGGTGGCGTCCACCAGCCCTCGGCCGTTGGTACTGCAACACTGGATGCCGCTCATGTTCCCTGGCCAACCAACAAACACACTTGTTATCACCAGAAAGCTTGCGTTCACTCACAGAAACATGTAACAAGTAAAGTTAATTGATAATAATGAATGTTATAGAATCTATGGTCATCCACCCCAACAAACAATGCCAACAATACTTCCATCTCTCCCGGAGAGTTAATAGACTGCGACCATATTATGAACATAATGGAAATGAACTCTACACATGAGTGATCATCACGTTCCATACTCTATATTAACCTTTCTGCCTAGAACAACAACCTTGCCATTACTGCCTACTGTGACGATGCTAACGCCATCTATTGACCACACCTGACCCCATTTTCTGTTCCCCGGTTGAAGGCTGTGATCTGACACCTGTGTTGTGTCCTTCTTACTACACACTTTTGGTTCCTCAGAAGTGATGTGGGGGGATGGGGGGGGGTACCGTGGCCAGCAAGAGCAGTCCACCAGGAGTGGCCAGCAAGGACAGTCCTTAATGCAAGACATGTTTCCGTGGGAACAAGTCTGGCCTGGTCGGTGGAGACTGTACTTCTCTGTGGGAGCCAGCAGCTGTTGGTGATTGGAGTGATGCGTCCCGGGGAGGCCCAGTTGTGTTAAATTAATAGATGGAATTAGCGTCTGTCTGTTCTCTTAAGTTGAGGCTTGTTAGACTTGAAGCCTTTAGAGGACGCCAGCCAGTGTAGTGCTGGTGTTTCGAGGCTGTGTTTAGACCCTGTGATGATACTGTGGAGGACAGACCCGTGAATTGCCGAGAAAAGTGGACTGGCCAGTGTGGGTGTCTCGGAAGACAGGTTCAGGGATGGAACCTTGAGTGTTGGACGAAGGAGGACTTAACGTAATAGAAGATTGCAGAATTTGCTTTGTAGTGTCTTGCGTGAAAGTGATACATACGGTGCTATCTGTGCTGTATATGTATAATATATGTAATAGCGCCTGACAGCTGCGGGGATATCGCTTCGGATTCGTAGTCCTGAGGTTCCGGGTTCGATCCCCGGTGGAGGCGGAGACTAATGGGCAAAATGTTTCTTTCACCCTGATGCCCCTGTTACTTAGCAGTAAACAGGTACCTGGGAGTTAGACAGCTGCTACGGGCTGCTTCCTGGGGGGTGGGGAGGTGTAACAGAAACGAGACCTGGTTGAAGACCGGGCCGCAGGGACGTTAAGCCCCGAAATCGTCTTAAGATAGGTGTAAATAAGATTGAAGTACGTGTAGTGATAGTTTTGTTTAATGTTGTTTACCTCCATTCCCGTTGGATTGTCTGTTACTGATAAGTTCTTAATAACGTAATCCAGACTCGGGGATAAGTCTGGTCAGAAGAGACACTAAGGCCCTATAGTAAGTTGAGTGAAGAGAGTGCGGGTGCTGCCTGAGTGAGGCCGTAACACCAATCAGTACTCGCCAGTCTGCCATACACTAGGCTGGTTAGTACTGGATGCTCGTTAATATACCTCTAACTCAATATGTATTATGTTCATCTAATTATCTTTGACCTGATAAATAACGTTGATGGAATGCATCATTAATACATAAATACATTCACTACACTACAACAATGATCTGGTCTGTTAGGATGCAGCTCAGACTGATGCTTACTTGACAATATAAAATTTACCAAAATCAGACAACTAAGCGTCAATGAGCATTGAAATTTTCGATTATGTTTTATAATTAAAAACAAATAGAAAACTAGTAGTAGATAATTAATAGGCTTCCCCAGTTGAACTTAGTTGCTACACATCTATGTAATGTAACTCAATGTAATGGCCATCTAAATTGTGATCAGCTGAGACCTGTGTATCTGATTAATTTCCCTGCATGTCTGCTCTCCAGGTCCCCATGACGAACAGGCCCACTTGTTTATTGACATGGTAGAGTCTGTTCCTCGCCTGGTAGAGAATGTACGCATTATTTGGTTAGTCAGATTAAGGCTGGCCCACGGGAGCCATGGCCCACGGGAGCCATGGCCCACGGGAGCCATGGCCCACGAGAGTTCTTTCCATGACAATGGTACCAAATTCATTCTGAAAAGGGTTGAGAGAATGATGCTCTCAGACGTAGGTTCGAACCCTCGTCACGGCCCTTGTGGATTTGTTCACTATGAAGGAAGATAATTAACTAACAAAAACAGGAAATTTTGCTGAGAACTAATCAGAAAATTTAAAGCAGTATGAAAGTGAGACTTTAAGACCTGTCAGCTACAGTACTGACAGGGGTAAGTGCAGGCGAGACTCTCGTGTCACAGCTGGAAGAATACAGAAGACCTAACTGGTCCACCTGTATGTATCAGACCCAGCGGTCTCGGACCAGATTTAGCCACGGATACTAAAGAAGGCGGTGTGGAGACTGTATTAGTCACTAACTAGAGAATTTAACTCTAAACTGACGAAGACAATCATCCCTTGCAACGCCTGAACACAATAGTCAGAAACGCTTGGAAAATGGGGACAAGGAGCTGGGAAATAAGAGGATAAGAAAGGAACGGTTCGCAACCAGTTGGGCAACATGGGAGTGAAGAGAAACAATCTGCCATAACAAGAACGGCACCAGACTAGATCTGAAATATCTTGATGGAAAAAAACAGTCATCATGAGATAAACATTATCAGAAGAGAACTGATGAGCGGGGTTCCGCAAGGATCAATAATGGGTTCCCTTATGTTTCTGATCCGTGTAGATATACTACGTTTAGAAACTTAAGGTGAAGAGACGACGACGTTTTGGTCCGTCCTGGACCATTATGAAGTCGATTTTGATAATGGTCCATCGGCTTGGTAATGATCCAGGACGGACCGAAACGTCGCCGTCTCACCATCTTTTTTTTTTTTTTTTTTTTTTTTTTTTTTTTTTTTTTTTGAGATATATACAAGAGTTGTTACATTCTTGTACAGCCACTAGTACGCGTAGCGTTTCGGGCAAGTCCTTAATCCTATGGTCCCTGGAATACGATCCCTGCCGCGAAGAATCGTTTTTTCATCCAAGTACACATTTTACTGTTGCGTTAAACAGAGGCTACAGTTAAGGAATTGCGCCCAGTAAATCCTCCCCGGCCAGGATACGAACCCATGACATCTTGTGGTTTGGTCTGGTCATCATATCTTCAGCCACGTTATTGTGACTCATCGTCTGCATTTAGGCACTGAATTACGAGAGGACTGTAGACTGCTGCAGGACTACAACAGTAAATGACAGGTTATGAGAATTCAGCAGAACAGAAAACCTAATGCTGAACATCATTCAGAGCTCATGACAGAAACACACATATAAATAGTATCAAATTAGAAACCACTCACAAAGTTAGAAGGCATAAGAACAGCCTTTCTGAACCTAAACAAAGAACACTGCACTGCTCAGCCAGTCTTAGACCAGTGGTAGAGTTGGTGCTTTGTGCAGCCCAGGAGAGTTACCGCGAGTCTCACGCTGCAAATACAAGACCTATATTAAGCCACAACAACAGCAAGTGAAAATAAATGGACGTGACAACACTAGCAAAGACAATCACCACATTCATGATACTGACATATTAACAACTTGGCTACCACAGTGGTCTACATCGGAGGATCACAGTTAAATTTTCGAGGTGGCAGAAGTATTTGGGCAATGTCTTCCTTAACTGTATGCCTCGGCTGAGGTAGCCGTAAATATGTGTTTGGGAGTTACAGTTATTGTGGCTTTCATCTTGGGACAGGTCAGCAGTGGACAAGAAGAGACCTCAGTGTACCCAGTACACACTTCCTGTCCCCAACAGCGCACAACCGTTGTGAGAAATAGCACGAGGGGACACGCTTGTGTTACAGTACACAATGAAGACTGGTCAATACTCACCGAGCCTGTTGATGGGGGTGTGAGTGAGGTCATGGTCGATGAACTGCCCCCACTGCATGACGGAGAGGGTCAGGTCAGGGCTGGGTCGGTCCTGGTCGCCCACAACACTGGTCGACACCAGCCTGGCGGAGGGCAGGCTCCCTCCCCCGACACTCTCGCGCGGCCGGGACAGACCTGTAACAACACCACCGTTTGTTTACACATGTGTTGTGTTCTTGTATCTTGACATGTTGATGCTGGTCAGTGTCTGGGTGTTGCCTGGGGATGACGGCCTGTGTCTCATCCTCAGTGATCTGGTGTGAGTTGTGTTGATCAAGTTTACTGTTAGTCTGTGCTGATAATTGCTATAATCACCGTCGCTGTAGTATAGTGAGGACTGTGACAACACTCACCGTCACTGTAGTGAGGACTGTGACAACACTCACCGTCACTGTAGTGTGGGGGACGGAGCCTCTGGAAGGTGGTCCTGGCCTGGCCCCACATGGGGTTGTCCAGGTTGTTGCAGGAGCCGTCGATGGTGCGGTAGAACCTGTCCCTCTCCCGGCACACGGGCTCCCTCGGGCAGGTGTCGGCGATGATGGTGTTGGACAGGTCAAACTGCTGCAGACCAAAGCCAGCCTGTAAACCACTCAGACGAAACCTGTTCACCGGAGAAAAATAATTTCCTTTTTTAACTTGGTTAAGCAAGGTAGTGGTTTCTTCCACTGTATTGTGTTGTGTCCGCGTAATTATAATTACAATCTAGTCATGTAATTATCGAGCTTTGACTCCTGGGATCCGAGTTTTGGCATTTAATTGAATGGTGTTCTTGTTACCTAACCCCCCCCATGTAATTATAGTAATAATAACAATATTTTATCTATATAAAGTACACACATTTGTTACGTGATACTGAGGACTCCTCGCTACATCAACCCACTAATACCTTCATGTTTTGGGCAAAATGTAAACATAATTGGAGATTAACTTACACTTAAAAACAAACGAGAAGTAACTTAACATATGAGAGTTGCTAAAGAGATTTATCAAATAATTTACAGTCTTAAGTGATATTTAGAGACTGCAGTTTAGCAACAGAACCGGTGCACAATTAATGTTCACAATCAGAGTTGATCAAAGGTTAACGTGCAGGTAGAATTGGTTTCATGATGGTTGTAAAGCATTTCTTACTCTCACTTGTAATCAGGTTGAGAGAAGTTCAGATTTTAATCTTATTAGGGAAGTCATTCCACAGTTTAAAACCAGTAATTTGCAAGATACTCCTACTATGGTTAGGTTGCGCTCGAGAAATATCAAAATATATATAAGTTTTTCGTGTGGTGCCGCTAGGCTCTCATTTCTAATTTTACATCCATGTGTTGTGTTTGATCTTCACAGCTTTATTCCACAGTAAAGCTTCCTCAGCGTCGTCATGGTGAAGTAGCCATCGTGATGTGCGTTTACATCATTAAATTCATCATTTTTATCCATAAAGCTGCAATCCTCATCAGTGGATGAGGCCTCTCCCATCCTCTGTCACCATCTAACTCCACATGTCGCACACGCAAATTAATAATTTGTTGAGTGGAATTTGATGACTCAGGGGCGAGTTAAGGAAGACTCACTTGGTCATGAGAAAGTCTCCAGCCTCAGCGTTGACGAAGGCGCCGCGGGCCAGGTGGATGGCCAGGGGCGAGGTCTTGAAGAACTGAAGGTGAGCGAAGGCCGGGTCCGTGTAGTTGGCCACCTGGATGCCTCGGGCCCGCAGCTCCTGTGGGCGGGTCGCGCTACAACTTATTACTCTAAACATAATCCTAATTAAAAAGAAAAAGTTAATACCTTTAACTAATTTAGTTCATACATCAATGTTGGTGTGTTTGAAAGACGAGTATACATTGCTTAAGCAACAGAGCCGTTGAGTTTTGGAACACATTACGGGGTAATTGACGTGGGCGTATCTGGAGTGTTTCAAGTGTAGGTTAGACGTGGTTATGGTCTCTCTTGCTACAGCTGACTTTGTTCTCGAATCACAATTCGGGACCCCGGGCTCGATTTTCGGGCAGATATAGTTGGGCATGCATTCTTTCACCTAATGCCTCTCTCCACCTAGCAGTAAAAAGGTACCCGGGAATTTAACTGTTGTGAGGCTGCACCCTTGAGGAGGGTCACTAGTGCGACCTGAGGGAAACCTCGATACATACGTTAAAATATATATGTATATACACAGGCTTCCTGCTCCTAGCAAAACTAATTATTAACGTTTAATATTAAGAGTTTAGGTGACTACAATGAGAAGTAGTCTTGAACGAGCCAATTAGTGGCTTAATTTAGATAATGTATACAATTTACAATAATTACCAACACATAGTCCATTGTATCATGTTTCAGATGTATTTTGTATCAATTCAAATTATCATTATTAAATTATTATGTAAACATTTTAATGTATGAGAGAATTTTACTGGAGTATACCATCAAAAGCTTGAGCTTGTTATAGAAGAAAATTGAAAAGTTTATATATATGGGTGACTGTAGTAAGCTCATAGTGGCCCTTTCTACCAGGAATATTTTGCTTCATCTTATGCTTCCAATAGATGGGGACAGGAAGCCTGCAGGCGAAGACACCGTTGGCCAGCTGGTGAACTTTCCCAGAATATTGCCCACAATACTTGTCTCACCCTTGGCGGCCACACCTGCATACTCCAGCTCACACCTGTTTACTTCCGCCACACCTGTTTACTCCAGCCACACCTGCATATATATATATATATATATATATATATATATATATATATATATATATATATATATATATATATACTACGCCATATATATATATATATATATATATACAGTAGCACATTCACAAACTCTTAAGTAACAATACAGAAACAGAGACATTCCAAAATGAGGAAAAACTTGGCTGACATTAGCAGAGGTAACTTTAAGTCAGGTCTCCCAGAGGGGCGGAATATCACTACAATGATCCTGTCTTATTACACACAGAAATCACAATAGCGTGATGCATCAAATGAACAAATCCGTAAGGGCTGTGACGAGGGTTCGAACTTGCGTCCGAGAGCATCCCAGACGCTGCCTTAATCAACTGAGCTACGACATGGTCAAAAGAATTGCAACCAGAAGTTCTACTGACCCTACATGGATCCTGCAGCCTCTCCGAGACACAAACCAAGATTTTAAAGGGAGTAATTCCCATGGGGAAATTGTGTAAAATCCTGGTTGCAATTCTTTTGACCATGTCGTAGCTCAGTCAATTAAGGCAGCGTCTGGGATGCTCCCGGACGCAAGTTCGAACCCTCGTCACGGCCTTTGTGGATTTGTTCCTATCTTATTATCTTCACATTACGGGGGAAGTGTCTTAGGAGGACGTGAAGGGAGAAGTGTACCCGCTCGAGGAGGTCCTTCTCGGCCAGCTGCCAGAGGCCGACCCTCGCAGCCTCGTCGATGATGTTCTCGCTGAAGCCCAGTTGAGGGACCTCGATGACCGGCGCCGTGAACAGCTGGCGGAGGTTCCCTGGTGGAGGAGGCGGCCCTCAGTACACACTCACTATATAACTCCGAGAGTCACACACTCTTTACCTCATTATTCACGACACTCAACACATACATCACCTCACTAGGATATATGGACAAAAACATTTGTTATAAATTAATTTGTTATAATAATGTGATCGATCTTAACATCTTCTGTGGGAGGGGGGGTCACACGGGAGGCGTCACACGGGGGGGGCGTCACAGGGGGGTCACACGGGGCGGCGTCACACGGGGGGGCGTCACACGGGGGGCGTCACACGGGGGGGGGGGTCACACGGGGGGGGGGGCGTCACACGGGGGGGGCGTCACACGGGGGACGTCACACGGGGGGGCGTCACACAAGAGGTGTCACACAAGAGGTGTCACACGGGGGGGGGGGTCACACGGGGGGGGGGCGTCACACGGGGGGGGTCACACGGGGGGGGGGGGTCACACGGGGGGGGGGGGGGGCGTCACACGGGGGGGGGCGTCACACAAGAGGTGTCACACGGGGGGGGGGGGCGTCACACGGGGGGGGGGCGTCACACGGGGGGGGGCGTCACACGGGGGGGGGGCGTCACACGGGGGGGGCGTCACACGGGGGGGGCGTCACACGGGGGGGGGGCGTCACACGGGGGGGGGGGCGTCACACGGGGGGGGGGCGTCACACGGGGGGGATAATTTCGAAGAAATTAAACGCCCTGAACGGAAAAGGGCTTGACAACTGAGTGGACAGCGCTCGGGATTCGTAGTCCTGAGGTTCCGGGTTCGATCCCCGGTGGAGGCTGAAACAAATGGGCAGAGTTCCTTTCACCCTGATGCTTCTGTTCACCTTTCAGTAAATAGGTACCTGGCAGTTAGACAGCTGTGTCCGGGTGCTTTCAGGGGATGTATAACAAAAAGGAGGCCTGGTCGAGGACCGGGCCGCGGGGACGCTAAGCCCCGAAATCATCTCAAGATAACGGCTGCCAGAGTACGAGTTAAGATGTATACATTTACATCACGTTTTTACCTAAATTTACCTAACGGCTACTCTCCCCATTGACCACGACGGGACAGGAAGCCGGGGGCTACAACCCGTCCTCTGAAAAATAATGTCACTTTCCTCCCGTATGCGCGGCACTATGGCCAAATTTGGACGTAATTTGAAATGAAATCGACTCACAAAAGTGACGTACTGTTCCGTTTTCTGTTTGAGTCGTCCGGCTTACTCAGTAAGGTTAGGAGAGGAAAGTTTTCATTAACGTTTTTCATACCGTTTTGAAACTTTAGGAGAATTTCCTGCCCACCTAACCTACCAGTTTACCCTTAACTTACTGTTGTTGAAAAAAAAATCCAAAATTTATTTTCATTTTTTTTCATTTTTAAATTACGTCCATATTCGGCCATACGGGTAAACGGCCAAAAGTGACGTTCTTTTTAAGAGGACAGGTTGACTTGTTTATGGCTCCTCCATTCATGATAATTTTGTCCAGCTAAATTTTATACAGAAGTAATGTCATGGCGCTTATGTCTTCTGCGGGTAAGCGGTTCCGTGGGTTTATACCCGTGTGGGTGACCAGCGTCCCCAGTGTTCAGTCCTTCACTGTGGCTGGTTGAGCTCGTCCCCCCCCCCCCTCCCCCCTCCCCCCCTCCCCCACCCCCTCCCCCCCTCCCCCCCCTCCCCCTTGTATGTGTAACACTTGACCTGTTAAACAAGAGGTCTAGATTAATATCCTCCAAATTGTTCAGTATTTTGAAGGTATCGACGAGATCAGCCTTGTCATGTCTGGTTTGTGGTGGTGTTAGCCCTGCGGCCCTCAAGTGTTCCTGAGTCCAGATTCGACATAGTTCTCGGATGATTTTTGTCGCTCTGTGTTGAAATTTCCCAAAAGCAGATATATCTTTTTGGAGATAACGTCTCTATACTTAGACATCCCGTCCTCTCTAAATAACGTCGCTTTTCGCTCGTATGCGCTCGCGCTATGGCCAAAAACTGACGTAATTTGAAATGAAATCGGCTGACGAAAGTGGTGTACTGTCCCGTTTTCTATTTGGGTCTCCAGCTTAGTCTGTTAGGTTAGGAAGGGACACTTTTAATACAAGATGTTTTGAAACTTTAGAAGAATTTCCTGCCCTCCTAACCAGCCACAGGACCTTAACTTACTGTTTTAGGGGGAAAAATCCCAAATTTATTTTATCTTTTTTGTAATTTTCAAATTACGTCAGTGTTCGGCCATACGGGTAAATGTGTAAGAGGACAGGTTGGGGAGTTATCTGGAGATGATGATTGATTTTGATTTGATTGGGGCTTAGTGTCCCCGCGGTCCGGTCCTCGACCAGGCCTCCACCAGGCCTCCACCCACAGGAAGCAGCCCATAGCAGCTGACTAACACCCAGGTACCTATTTACTGCTAGGTAACAGGGGCATCAGGGTGAAAGAAACATTTTGCCCATTTGTCTCCGCCTCCACCGGGGATCGAACCCAGAACCTCAGGACTACGAATCGCGAGCGCTGTCCACCCAGCTGTCAGGCCCCCTCACCGTAGACACCGTAGGCCAGAGGCACCTGACACTTGCACACTTCAATAACAACTTTCTTTCCGTTTCAGTCGAAGGTTCTTTTTGTCTATGTGTAAAGGTTGCTTCCCCGCAGCTCTCACTTGTCGCTGCAGTAAAATATCTTGTACAGCCTAAGTGCCCAACCACTTGGGCTGGACGGTAGAATGTCAGTCTCGCTGCATGCAGGTCGGTGTTCAATTACCGACCGTCCAAGTGGTTGGGCACCATTCCTTTCCCCAGTCCCATCCCGAACCCTTATCCTGACCCCTTCCCAGTGCTATGTAGTGGTAATGGCTGGGCGCTTTCTCCTCATACTTCCCTTCCTCGTGTCTTCCCTCTTGTGTCAATCGGAATAAAATATTTAAACAGCGGCGATATCTAATTGTCGGGATGGCAACTGGACCTTTCCATCCATCCCTTGTCCGGGACGGTGGTGCCGGGAAGGGAATTATCAGGGCTATACGACTATATAGCACTTAGAGGGGATCAGGAGTTGGGATGGGACGGGGGGGGGGGGGAAGGAATGGTGCCCAACCACTTGGACGGTCGGGGATTGAACGCCGACCTGCATGAAGCGAGACCGTCGCTCTACCGTCAGGAACAACCCGCCGGTCCGCCAGACAACTGCAGTTTCAAACAATGGTCTGAAGTGAGGCATCATTGTGTGACTGGCTGCCTGGTCGTGCCTGAAGATACGGAGCCGAGTTACTGGCGGCGAAGATTAGCGACGGACGCTCCATTGTCTCCCGGGACTCCCCGTGTGGCTACACCAGTGTCCTGACTCTCACAGCTACAGAGTCACGTGTACACAGCCTCCATGAACACGACCCCAGTGTGGCTACACCAGTGTCCTGACTGTCAGAGCTACAGAGTCACGTGCACACAGCCTCCATGAACACGACCCCAGTGTGGCTACACCAGTGTCCTGACTCTCACAGCTACAGAGTCACGTGTACACAGCCTCCATGAACACGACCCCAGTGTGGCTACACCAGTGTCCTGACTCTCACAGCTACAGAGTCACGTGTACACAGCCTCCATGAACACGACCCCAGTGTGGCTACACCAGTGTCCTGACTGCTACACACGTGTACACAGCCTCCATGAACACGACCCCAGTGTGGCTACACCCGTGTCCTGACTCTCACAGCTACAGAGTCACGTGTACACAGCCTCCATGAACACGACCCCAGTGTGGCTACACCAGTGTCCTGACTCTCACAGCTACAGAGTCACGTGTACACAGCCTCCATGAACACGACCCCAGTGTGGCTACACCAGTGTCCTGACTCTCACAGCTACAGAGTCACGTGTACACAGCCTCCATGAACACGACCCCAGTGTGGCTACACCAGTGTCCTGACTGTCAGAGCTACAGAGTCACGTGTTCACAGCCTCCATGAACACGACCCCAGTGTGGCTACACCAGTGTCCTGACTGTCACAGCTACAGAGTCACGTGTACACAGCCTCCATGAACACGACCCCAGTGTGGCTACACCAGTGTCCTGACTCTCACAGCTACAGAGTCACGTGTACACAGCCTCCATGAACACGACCCCAGTGTGGCTACACCAGTGTCCTGACTGTCAGAGCTACAGAGTCACGTGTTCACAGCCTCCATGAACACGACCCCAGTGTGGCTACACCAGTGTCCTGACTGTCAGAACTTCAGAGTCACGTGTACACAGCCTCCATGAACACGACACACACATCCTACAATCTGGGGGCCGAATAACTGAGTGGACAGCGCTCTGGTCTCGTAATCCTAGGGTCCGAGTTCGATCCCGGCTGATGGCAGAAACATAATGGGCAGAGTTTCTTTCACCCTAATGCTCTGTTTCCTAGCAGTAAACAGGTACCCGGGAGTTAAACAGCTGCTTCCTGGGTGTGTGTGTTTGTGTGTGAAAAAAATAATTAGTAGTTAGTAACAGTTGATTGACTGACAGTTGAGAGGCGGGCCGAAGGAGCAGAGCTCAACCCCCGCAAGCACAACTAGGTGAATACAACTAGGTGAATATAATGTGGATCAATTAATGTCTCTAGAAGAGAAAGCTAACTCAAAGGTTCCTGCTCAACAAAATGGCTTCTTAGCCACTTCCACCGTGGCTGTGAAGCTACTCACATTGGCGGCAATAATACACATCCATTAATGGAGTAGACTGGCTCCAACATTCTGCTACAGCTTCCCTCCTGTGACCCGTCTGACTCCACCTAATTTGTCCTTACAGTATCTTACCTGTGTTCTGTTTCCTTAAACACTCAAAGGTGTCTGGGAATTGATCAATGTTACTGTAATTCAGTACAAATACTTGCAGCTTTACAAGAACCCGCACACACACACAATATGGAAATGCTAGTCAATTATACTCATAGGTGCATAAATTATACATATCTGCTGATAGCATAAGTAAAGATAAGAAAATTATATTACGACTGACACCCTCGCTCGCGTACGCTCGCGTGCGCACCGATAATATATACATATATACGTAGCATAAATACACAGGCATGAGAAAATGAAGCTTGAAGCATGAAGACAAGCATCTACTGGACTTTTGTTGGGTTGTCCGGGGCAGCAGACTCCCGCAGAACACAGTACACTGGAAGAAGAAACAGCAGAGAACATGAAGACATAAACACGTACTGTTATTGGGTTGTCCGGGGCAGCAGACGCCAACAGCACCACCGTAGATGGAGCAGGAGAGCTGGGGCTGGTTCTCCACCTGGTGGTAGCAGGGAGCACAGCTCACCAGCGGCACACACTGCAGGCCGTCCGGGCACTCTCCTGGTCCAGGGTAGGGAGGCGGAGCTGGCGGAACGTGTCAGGTTAACATTTATTAATATATCTCATTAGTTTGAGAATCTTATTCACAGTTTAAAAATGCAAAATGGACATTGTCTCAGTGACTCAAAATGTATTGGTAGCACTCTGGGAACTGCATAGACACCGATGTACAGGAAGCCGGCTGCTGGTGGCCAGGAATGGTCAACCACAGAGCGAAAGAGCCAGGACTGTTGGGTAAGTTGGTCATCAACTCATTCAGAATGATGGTGTCCCAACATGTGTCAGGTCTGAGAGACTTAAGTGAAAGGGGAGCAGCACCATCTGTCCATGTGTTTAATTAATAAATTTTTGCTCTTGATAATATATATATATATATATATTATTTTTATTTAAAATTTTATTCTAGAAAAAGGGGCTACAACATTGGTTACATGCAAGGTACAAGGCTACGTGTCACAGGTTGTCGAGTTCCTCCAGCTCCTCAGAAAGCGGGCAAGAACCATGGATGCAATGTGTATTTCCACTCTGGGTTGCCACGCTGAGGCGCTGCAAGAGGAAACGGGCAGCTCTAGGGTCTCTAGTTGTTTCAATTAGCCATAAGGCTAATTAGTGGTAAGGCTCCTTTTAATAATGTCATTAACCTCGTCGTGTTTTTCTGCTCCTCCTGTGCTTTGGCAGAGAAGGCCATGCCAGCCGTACCTGTCGACCACTGCCTCGCTGCAAATACACCTATATTCAGTGTGGATTGGGGCAGCGAGGCGGACAGCCTGTGGTGTGAGACATGTGCCGGGTGCTGACATTGGGGTTGCTAATAGGAAGTCACCTGCATGGGGAGCTGCTACAGCTCTAAGTCGGGCAGTGTCATGTGGTGTTGTCTCAGCTTCTAGGTATGTCGCAGCTGCTTGGTCGACAATGGCGCGATCGCAGCTGATTTGCTTGTGAACTTAGGAAGGTGGTGGTTGGGGTGCTGGTCCTGCAACAGAGACCCATTTGGTGGTGCAGACCATAGAGATGGGATCTTGTACCACTGCCTGTTGACCTAGGTAATCAGGTAGGATTTCCTTCACCAGGTTGTCAGAGGCCACTGAAGAGGACAGGAACGCTGGTACAGCAATTTGCGTTGTTGTGCGAACGCCGAGGCCCCCGAGTCTGACAGGAAGGGAAGCCTGTTTCCACTGAGAGAAAGGTTGAGGGCCTTTTCTAACATAGATTTCAGCAAACTGTCTTTCTCTTTTAATTTAATATTATTGAAAGATGGCGAACATTTAAGAAAATAGGTCAGCCTGGGGAGGGACAAGCATCTGGTGAGGAGGTAAAGTGCATCATGAGCATCAGTGTCTTCAATCCTCTCATTCATCCTCCTCAGGTTAGAGATCTTCTTACCAAGGACCCCGTCGATGGCATTCCTTCCAAGAACAGCGCCTAGGAGTGTGCTGTTCTCAGGGTTGGTTATATGGATATCAGGCAAAACATCCTTTATTCGCTCTATTATGTGCTGGTTGGTGGAGGTTATTTCGCACTTGGAAAAGTTCAGGGTGAGGCCTAGACTTGCTCCTGAATTATTCTTATGTCATCCAGGAGAGAGTCTGGGGAGCCGGCTAGAGTACCATCGTCCAAAAACCAAATGTTGAGCTCACTGGACAGGTTATCGGTGACTTCCTTGATGACTAGGCAGAAAAGAAAAGGAGCAAGGGGGTCACCCTGTTGGACACCTTGTGATTCGATTTCATGTTCCACAAATAACAGAGTTAGATTCTTGCTGTAACATAAGTTTACAAACGGGTAGAGTGAAGGAAAAAGCCAATGAACCGCACTGATTACTGCATCCCTTCTTTCCAGATTGACAGCGTTTTTGAAATCCAGTTTTATCACGGTTTTTTCTTCTGTAATGTAGGCTCTAGCTACATGAGCCGCTGCCTCACACCCTTGGGGAATGCCAAACCCAAGCTGTTTTGGCTTCAGCATGTCGGCTGCTGCCTGGCTAACTGCTCTAGCAGCAGCCTTAGTGACGAGGCACTGGAGTAAATTGCCCACAGCTATTGGTCTAATTCCTCTATCCTTTTTCCTCAGGGCACAGAGGGTAGCGACAAAAAAGAGAGGCCGTATGGTCTCTGGTATGTTGCCAGCTAGACATGTGTTGGAAAATCTTGTTAGTTTCACCAGGAGCCCCTGTGCAATGTCTCCCAGTGCAGGGTTGAGCATTTGTTTGATGTGGTTGGGTGTTAGTCCTGTGAACCCGCCTGCTGATCGTGGTGGGAAGGATAAAGCTGCTTTAAGCACCACGGATTCGACCACACACAGGGGTTCTGCTCTGATGACACCAACTAGTGGAACACTGTTGTCACGTGGGGCTCTGGGTGGGTGTTTTTCTCTCAGGGCTTGTGTTGTATTGGCGTCTCTGGTGGCAACTGTGTCCTCGCTGGTGATGACTCTGATTGCCCCTACTATGTTCCCTTCTTCTAATTTCTTGCTGACTGTTGCTCTGTTTTTGGATGCCTCGGTTTTGTTTTTAATACCATATCTGTGGTGGGTGTTTTTGGCACGGGTGGGGAGGGGTACCTGGTTGTCCTCTCTAAGAATACTATTTATAACCCTAATGACTGAGGAAGCTAGTGATTTGTCTCTCCTTGCAGGGACAGCTAGGCATATGTTACCAAACAGGAGAAGGTTGCGCCACGCTTGGATGGTTCCGGGAGAGTCATTAACCTTTTTCAAGAGGCTGGATAGTTTGGCTGCTGCCTGGGGCCGGGCAGCTTTGGGGATGTGCCACAAGGTTTCAACCGATATCGCTTTGATGGCTTCTAGTAGGTTCTCAGTCGAAATGAAGCTGTTGGAGTTTTCACCGACTGCTGATGTGGGGACGTTGATTGATGCTGTCTTTGAGAGGGTGCCACATACCTGGACATTGGGCTTCGTTGTGGGAATATTTGCATATATATATATATATATATATATATATATATATATATATATATATATATATATATATATATATATATATATATATATATATATGAGGTGGTTAGGTAACATGGTGGTTAGGTGCTAAGCATGGTAGAATTTGTCTTTGAGAATGTGAGGAGTGACCTTGTGAAACACATCACTAGGCATCAGACTCAATAAAAAGTAAAAATGAACTTTGGAGAGTTAATTTTTCAACTTCCTGCTTCAGTGAAGAAAGAAATTAGAAAGCCATCCTCTAATGAGTTATTATATTGCCACAAATCCTCTTGTTTAGATAGTAACTATTGTGACGATCGTCAATAGTCAGAATTCATACGTTCTTGACTTTTAGATATTAGTCTACTGACTAGTAGGGAATTATTTTAAAATAAATGAAGCTAAAAGACAAACTTAAATACTCCCAGGCCTAGTATAGTACACATGTGTACTATATTAGGCCTTAGCTATCGTGTATTAGGCCTAGGGAGGTTAGGAGAGGTTAGTTTAGTTTGTCGAAGCAACTCAAGTTAAAAATAGTTTTCCGGTTTGTACAACTCAATAGTTCAGATTTCTACTTTCTAATTTCGTTTTACGTCAGTATATACACAATGGTCCTAACACCGTTACCATAAGTGCTACAGAGCAGGAGGATGGGCTGTATATGGCTGTTGTAAATTAACGTCAAATATGATTTACCGTTATAAGTCAACTGACGTGTGTCGCAGTCATGATGTTGCCTTTATCCTTCCCTTGTAACGCCCTTTGAAACCCATTCCAATATTTGTATGGACAGATGCCACTGTCTGTGGCATCTGGCTATTCTGGTGTAGACACAAATTTTAGATTTGGAACCCAACTAAACAGTGGAACTCTGATTACCTCCGTAAGTGTGAGTTGGAGGCTGTACAGGCCGGAGGTGGTGAGGCACGGGGGTGACCTTCTTGTGGTGGCCGGGGTGCAGGAAGGGCAGCCTGGCCGCCGCAGGGGTGCGGCTCGGGCTGTACCTCTGTACATACTTGTGGCTCGGCGGCACCTTCGTCACCGTTGGCTTCACGGACGGCTTGTAGAACTAACCAAGAGTGAATAATAATTAATAAATCCATGACATTAGAAACGTTGACAACAGCTCCACATTATACTCGGACTCGTTATACAAAACGTTGTGAACAGTTAAACCCAGGTTAGGTTTAGTGACATGTTGTGTACCTCAGATGAAGCTTCCTCAAGACAAATACCAGAACTTTACCTGTATTAACATGTAAGGATGTCAGGTGTAGTTTCGGCTCAATTGGCCTTCTTCAGAGCAGTTTTAGAATGAAGAAAGAAACGTGGAAGGCAGACTTATCATACCCGCGAGGGCAGGTCACCTCACCACCCGCGAGGGCAGGTCACCTCACCACCCGCGAGGGCAGGTCACCTCACCACCCGCGAGGGCAGGTCACCTCACCACCCGCGAGGGCAGGTCACCTCACCACCCGCGAGGGCAGGTCACCTCACCACCAATAAGAATATAGACCTATTGACCTATATACAAGTAAAAAAAAGGGGGAATGAAACATATAGATAAAAGGGGACGAAAAAGGGGTTAAATGGTTAAAAGGGGTTACACTATATTGTATTGACGTGCTATATTGAAGCTTATATGGGGATCTAATTTGTACATGCCAGGGCTTACATTAAGGCTGTTGTTACAGTATTTGATCACAGGAGACTCGATCTCATTTCGTTCAACGAAACCCTTACTTTTAACAATACATTTCGCCCCTCTGAAGTCGATAGCATGATCACGTAAACTGGAATGTAAATACAATGCACTGGAGTGCTGGGCTGTACGAATAGGATATGAATGTTGTTTTAAAGGTGAATAAAGAGATTTACCAGTCTGGCCGAGGTAAACACATGCACACTCATTACACGGGATGATTTACCAGTCTGGCCGATGTAAACACATGCACACTCATTACACGGGTGGAGTACACACCTGGTACAGACGAGGGCGAGTTCTTAATTAACTTCGACTTAACTATATTATAATTTTTGAACACTGGGTTAATATTAATTTTTTTCAGGGCTGGGGCAAGATGTACTAGTCCATCAAAATATGGTAATACCAACGAACTTTTTATTTCTGGCTTAGACTTGGGAGCTTGTTTGTAGAACGTCTTTATTGCTTGACCAAACACGAAATCCAAGACCGATTTTGGGTATTTTAACTTCTTCCCAATTTCAAATATTTTTTTTTTATTTCATCATCAGAAAATTCCAAACTGCAAACTCTGAGGACTCTGAGGAACCATTCAAGACAATACTGCCCTCTTAACCTGAACATACGAGCACACATTGGTAGCTTTCCTATATACAGTGAATTTGAAATTCCTACCGACTCTATGACTCATGATGTGTAGAAAATGGCAGAACACCGTTCTGCCTTCTCAATTGTGAATTTAAATTTGCTGGTTCCGTCAATTGAAGATGAAGATGGGTTATTAACCACTCTACCTAGTGAGTGTGTCTGTCAATATGAAGCGAAAGTGTCCCCGGACAAGGAGGCGTGTGCAGTTGACTATGTAACTCAGTACCAAGTGACCGTAAAAGCAATATATTTTTTGAGAATGGAGGAAGAGGCAAAATTGGATGAGGACCTAATATTCAGGGACATGATGGAACACATATGAGCCTCGAGTGTCCAGCTTAGAGGTAACATTAGTAAAAGTAACATTATGGAGAACAGTTACAGAGTCTGTGGTGAGAGTGACGGACGCCGCCTTGACCACTACCTCAGAGAATGTGAACATCTAAGAGTCATTAGAAATATGTGTAGAATATTAAACCCAATACTGATTAAGTAAAATACTCTATGTCAAATATTGATACTGTTCTTAAAGATTCCCCCATTTTACACTCGCAAGATAACGTATGATTTTAAGGGTTGACAAATGTTAATCTTCTTGTTTGAGGAGCTGTTCACTGGAGACAGTTAAGTAAGTCCCAGCTGTGTCTGGGTACAAGTGACAGGATGAACAACCCAGCGGGTTTTCTTCCTATTGGGGAGTGTTGTACATGCTGCTATGGCGGTGTGTTCACTCACAGGATGAGTGGCGCTGCCCAATACTGTCACTATGGCGGTGTGTCCACTCACAGGATGAGTGGCGCTGCCCAATACTGTCACTATGGCGGTGTGTCCACTCACAGGATGAGTGGCGCTGCCCAATACTGTCACTATGGCGGTGTGTCCACTCACAGGATGAGTTGCGCTGCCCAATACTGTCACTATGGCGGTGTGTCCACTCACAGGATGAGTGGCGCTGCCTAATAAACTCGCCTCTCGGGGCAAAATTAAAATGATCTAGTATACATCGTGACTCTTACCTCCGGCCTGACCTCCGGCAGGAGCGGTGAGGCGGGGACCCCGGCCAGGGCGTGGGCGTTGGAGAAGGTGGGGCGGGCGGCGAAGATGGAGTAGGGCGCTGTGGGCGTGTGGGCGGACAGGTCGCTGTAGGGCCTGCCAGGGAGGAGGGCGGAGGTCAGAGGTACACAAGAGCTCTACCAAACTTACAACTGGACGTATAATATATGTATCTAACTGCGCTCTTTACCCTCTATATTTGACACCCACGTCTGTACAACAGG